CTCCTCCTGCTCCTCCTGCTCCTCCTGCTCCTCCTGCTCCTCCTGCTCCTCCTCCCAGACATCCAAATTCGTTTTCTGGCTCCCCTTTAGATATGCAACTAGCAAATGTATATATCTTCCTGAGCCTTCGCCACTTGAAGCATTCCACCGACGATCGAAATGTCGAGAAATCTGGTCTGCCATTTGAGCATGGCTTTTGTGCGAGCGTACTGCCTCGGCATGGTTTGATGTGTGCTTCTCACTGCGAGGCGGCTGTAGTCCCTGTGCTCGTGCTCGATCGGCTTCTTCGAGATATTTTCTTCTCTTATCTGCAATTTCAAGGCATTCCATGTAATGCGCAGAGATTTGAGTCTCGAAGTCATAATCTTCAAATAGCCGGTATCGCCTTCTTTTTGGGCTTCAGCCTTAGCTGTGCGCAATTCAGTCGCATCTCTACGCTTATTGAACTCGACCCAATCATCTGGAGCAAGCCTGATTGGTGCATTCGGGTCTCGAGTTAGGGACATGTTTCGAAGGAATGCAAAAAGGGTGCCATTGTCGCTTCCGGTTCTCTGGCCGAATGCCGCTTGTAATAAGTCTTCTCTAACTCGCGTTGTTTGATATGAAGTCCCCATTACCGCTGTCGTATGTTTCAAGATGAAATTGCTCAGAGCCCTTGAGAAGAGGGCTATACATGTAAACTTAGAAAAAACTGATTGACGTAAATGAGGTGCTGGTTAACTTACGATTATTGTCCAGTCTTGCAACGGCTCCAACACGCATCGTATACAGACGTGGTGGGTCCCCCCTGCAACCCCAAAACATGCATAACTTATGCCAAATGGCATTAAATTGTCGATAGGAGAGATCAAAGACTTTTTGATCTAGCATCTCTTTCTTCCAAGGTAGTGGGATGTAGTCGACATCCCCGAGATTTGGTCGTGTTAAGAATTCCTCTTCATTCACGTAACCAGCTTCAAATGCATTGTCTTGAAGTGCCCGTGACACAATAAGACTGAGAAGGCATACTAATGGGAATGGTATGAAGAAGACGGAAAAGCTAACCCTATGGTAAGAGAAATGTAAGTTTTAGCGACTTAGTTGGATTGAAAGAAAAAAGGAGATTCTGATGTGACTAACTTGTCGGTTTGGCTGGATGAGAGAGATTCCTTCGTCTTGTTTGTCTTTATCGTCACAGTTCCCACGTGTTTGATTTTCGTATGATCTTGCGGGTCTCGTATGACTGATATAACGATATCCCTATAGCGAACATTCTCTAAACATCCTGGCCTAAAACCAGCCATTGCGGACAAAAGCATATTGGCATGAAATGCGATGCGAGATTTCGCATCGATGGCCAGCTCACGAGCGCGCTTCCAAAGGGTATGGCAACTTATAATGGTATCTTCAGAGGTTGCCTCCACCTTATCAAATGTAAGCACTTTGATAAGTCCGTGTTCTTCTGCCAGAGTTGTCCAAAGCCACTTTTGGTAGAAGTTAGCTCTAATTAACGTACTTGACTTATTTTTTTTAGAGGAAAAACTGACCAGGGATATGTCAAACGTAGGAATCGAGGACGTCGGCGCCCTGGCGTTGTGGCTATGAAATCGAAGCCTCCACTTTTCACTTTTCGCAGATTCTTCTTTTCTTTTCACTGCTAAGACCGTGAGATCTGCCTCTTTGACAAGCTTTCGCCACATTGCAAGGAGCGTGCTTGCGCAGTTAAGCATCCTCTTGGGCACCCACTCCTCTGGCCCAAGGTCCATAACCAATCTCACTGAGTTTTCGACATAGTCCGAGAAAAATGTTTTGCACCAAGTAGCTGCGTTATCGTCTTCTTCGCACAATCCAATCCATACTGAGTCCGGGTCAGCAGTCGGCGAGTTCGGATCGTTCGGGTCAATATGCATATCATGAAAATAGCTAAGAGACAAAATAAGCTCACATCAAGGGGCGGTCCCAGAAGAGAAATCACTTCACTAACCTGTTCCAAATTCCCATCAACCACTAGCGGTGCTTTTTGGTATCATCATTGACCAGAAGATCCAGATTAACGGGCGCATCCTGATACCTTTTGAACTTCTCTCGACTCTGCCGTTGCTGCTCCAAGGGATCAGCTGTAGGGCGTCGAGCATTGGGAAGTCGACCTAACGAAGTTATTTTCGTATTCAAAACCATGGCCGCGACACAAGAGTGCTGGATTAGAAGGGAGGTAACAAGCCGTACCGCAGGCCGAAGCATCATATAATGGAAGCCCGGCTCCCCTGCCAGTCTATTTGGGAATTCGAGAGCTGGAGCCCGCTTTCGGACACACCGAATACGCCCGCCGACCATTACCTAGGGTACACTAGGAGAATGGCTTTTTTTTTAGCTTAGCATGGGTTGGCCGTCGTTTCTATGCACCCCCACAGCACGTGAGTGATAGAAAACAGTCTAGGGATGAATAATGCAGTTGAAAACGTGAATGTTTACGGTTATGCCAAGGCTGAAATGCCTCTGCGAGTTCGGCAAGGGTGACTCTTGTTGCATCGATAAATCGAGTAGCGCCGAACTTCAAGAGTCCATTAACTCCATGTTTCGCTGGTACCGTGGGGCAAAAAAGTGCTACGTATACCTATCGGATGTCTTCGAAAAGGATGAAGATGAACACGACCACCTGTCCAGGTCTACATGGGAGTCAGCTTTTCGCAAGAGTAAATGGTTCACTCGAGGCTGGACACTTCAAGAGCTTATTGCTCCTACTTCGGTTGAATTCTTCTCCTCAGAGGGCACTCGATTATGTGACAAAAGGTCAACGGAGCAGCAAATTCACGACATCACTGGAATTTCCATTGATGCCCTTCGGGGAGATGCTTTATCCACACTCAGCTTTGACGAACGGATGTCATGGGCTCAAGGGCGAAACACGACACGCGAAGAAGATATGGCCTACTCACTACTTGGCATTTTCGACGTCCATATGCCACTCATATATAGCGAAGGGAAGGAGAAGGCATTGATTCGGCTGGAGAAGGAGTGCCGCGAAAGCTTTCAAACGCCACGAGGTTCGTTATATCTATGAGTCATTTCCTTCGCATACTATCGTTGCTAAATGTTAACCTCTAGATGCGAGACTAGGGAAGATTCGACAATGGTTGTCTCCACCAGATCCATCTCTCAATTATGAGAAAGCACTCAAACAGCGCCAGGCTGACACTGGTCTCTGGTTCCTCGAAAGCGACGAATTTGCCAAGTGGAAAATTGACACCGGTTCATTTCTCTGGCTACATGGCATTCCGGGATGCGGTAAAACCATTCTAAGCTCGATCATCCTCCAAAATGTCCTCAAACATTTTGCTAAAAACACTGGAAAGGTTTTTGCATAACGTACTCCACAAGCGAGCGGGCCACCCAAGCGAGCGGGCCACCCAAGCGAGCGGGCCACCCCATCACCAAAACGCGATGCAAAATGTAAATTGCTCTACAACGCCAATAGATATTAACTTAATACAACTTTCAGTCTAATCTACAACAATTTCCTCATCTTTTTGACACGTACGAGCGTTGTGTCCTGTCTTGCTGCAGCGCCTACAGCGCGCTTGCTGCCGTGTACTTCCACCCGGGCGCCTCCTATTTTGACGCATTTCGCCCTCAATTTGTTTATTAGCTTCCTTTTGAGCAATTATTTCAGAGCCCTGTGCCTTTGTTAGGACTCCTTGCCTCTGATTTCGCTTTTTTTTGCGCTCTCTACGCTTTGTGGCGGCCTCATTTGCCTTTTGAAGGCTTGTAACCTGATCGCGCAATAACACAGCCCTATGCATCTGTACTTCGGCGCCTCTAACAAGTGAATTAAGCGACTCAAGAATCGCAGTAGGAGAGCTATTTTGATGCATTTGAATGCGATCACGAATTAATGCTGATTGAGAGCCTAGCTCAAGAGCATTGCTTGGTGTTTTTGATTCCCATTGAGCCTCCACAGCGGCAGGCGACGGCGTACGAAGCATAACATCAAGCTTTGAGAGCACTGCCTCTGGATCAAGCGGCACAAGGCCGGCGCCTCGAAAGCTTGCGCAGATATTGCTCTTTGTAAACGAGTTGTTGAATGCTGCTTTAAAAGCTGGTAGGAACTCGAGCTTTGTGATGTGGTTGATGTGGTTGCGTACTAGATCCTCAATTTGGCGACCGTACGCTTTTTTCAACGGCGCAAAACAGCCTACATCAAGCGGCTGTAATAGATGCGAAGCGTGCGGCGGCATGCATAGCGTGATGATATTGTTCTCCTTGCAAAGCTCTTTAAATTCAAGCGAGTTGTGGCTCTCATGGCCGTCCAAAATAAGCAGGCGATATGTGCCTATGGTGCGGTCCTTTGTATACGTATTGAAATGTTGCAGCCATGCAACACCAAGCTTATTTGTTGTCCAGCCGTTGTCGCTCACTGCTATGGCCCAGTCTGGCGGTATATCGCTGCCCTCGTACCATGCAGAGAGGTGGTACTTGCCCGCAAGGATGATGAACGGCGGGATTGCCCACCCACAAGCGTTGATGGCCTTGATTACAGTAGCCCACTCGCGATCGCCTGGTTGTATAGCTTTTGGTTGATTTTGTCTTTCGGAGCCTGTAACAACTACTCCTGTTGAAATAACACCCATCTGGAAGCCGGTTTCATCAAAGTTGTAGGAGTCGTCATCTGTGATACCGTACTTCGCCTTTGTATTACGCACAAGCTCACACCACGGCGCAATAATCTTTGGATCTTCGCATAGAGCTCTCTGGCGGTCGTACTTTCGATTAAACCGTGTTTGAAGCTCATCAGTCCGCTTGACAAAGTTGTATGGCCAATTCTTGCCAACCTGGCCGGCACCGCGCTCATCTAGCAGCTTATTAGCCATATCTTGTACAGCGCTTAACCGCGGTGCAAATCCTCTTGAATCCAAGTCAATTATATGTTGAATAATAACTGATTCCTCTAGCTTTGTAAGCTTCTTTGAATTGAGCTCGCAATCGCGTCGGGAGGTTGTTCCGGCGCGTCGTCGTTGAAGCGTGCTTCTAGGGACTTCGAAGGTTGTTGCAGCTTGTCGCTCGCTTTGAATTTGGTTTTTATTGATTGCTGAGATAGCTAGGCATATTAGGCCTTCGCTTTGGACTAGTTGCGCGTTGTGTTGTTGAAGCATGATAGTTGAAAGTCAACAGAGCGCGTTTTGGTGATGGGGTGGCCCGCTCGCTTGGGTGGCCCGCTCGCTTGTGGAGTACGTTACTTCTATTTCGACTTCAATGACGCACAGAAGCAAGTTCCCGAATTAATGATCCGATCATTAATTTTTCAACTCTCGCAGCACTGTGCTGAGATACCTTCAACTCTCGAAATGCTCTTGTCCTCCTGCAAGATCCAACAGCAACAGCCATCGTTGAAATCACTCTTGAACGTGCTGCATGACATGATCCAGAAGTTCCCACAGTCATATATTATCCTCGACGCTCTGGACGAGTGTGGCGATCGAACTGTGCTGATAGACATTCTTGAGGGGATAACTGAATGGCGGCTTAAGAAACTGCATGTCCTTGTTACAAGTCGAAATGAACCAGGCATTGAGATTTCACTAGAGTCTATCGCAAATGAGCAAAACACAATATGTCTCGATACCAAACTCGTAGACAGAGACATAGAGAAGTATGTTCGCCAGAGGCTATCTAATGATAGGGTCTTGAGGAAATGGCAGAGAGATCCGGTCCTCAGGCATGAAATCGAAGTCCGATTGATGAAGGGAGCCCATGGGATGTATGCATACTCTCTCCCCGCTCTGAACCAACGCTACTAATCATAATGATAGGTTTCGATGGGCTGCATGTCAGCTAGACGCCTTAGGGCAGTGCTGCAATCGAGTACAGTTACGAAAATCACTGGCAACATTACCACCCACGCTGGATGAGACATACAACCGGATTCTTTGCGGCATCGACGATATCGACTCCGAGTATGCTGTCCGAATTCTACGGTGGCTTACGTTCTCATCCCGGCCACTCACGTTAGATGAGATCGCTGAAGTCATCGCTATTGACAGCGAGCGCGACCCTGCGTTCGATAGTGAGGAGGTTTTTAAAGACCCGTTGGACGTGTTAAGAATATGCTCCAGCCTTGTCACCATAACTACAACTGAAGAACCGGACGAGGAATCTGACGATGAGGAATCGGATGAGGAATCCGACGATGATCTAACTTCAAACGAGTTGCGCAAGCTGACCGGTCAGATTGTTGCTCTAGCTCACTACTCTGTGAAGGAATACCTTGTCTCAGAGCGATGTCGTCAAAGCCGAGCAGCGCGGTACAGCATGCAACACACTCCGTGTAACGAATTCATTGCCAAATGCTGCCTCGCATATCTTCTCTAATTTCAGACTCCGGAGTCTCTTTCTATCGAAGATCTACCAAAGTTCAAGCCAGCTCGGTATTCGGCAATGTCCTAGATTCCCCACACTCAAGCAGTAGCAGGGCAAAAGACAGAGTCCTTAAACCTCCTGATTTTAAAGCTTTTCTCGACAGAAAATGGAGCTTCCCTAAATTGGATTCGAATATATGACCCAAGCAGGCCTTGGAAGGGTGCTGATTTCACAAGGAAATTGGAAGAGGCTTTCAGTCCTTTATACTATGCCGAGTCGAGCGGTCTCGTTGAGGTTGTGAGGCTATTGAGTCTTGGGAGGAACGGCGCTGACGTCAACATGAAGACAGCATCGCTAGTTGCACCAACTGATTTGGGCTATGGTTCAAACTGTCACATCGAGGGCCCAACTTCTCAAATTGAAAGGAATGAGGAGCCATATCTCGATAAGGACGGCGATGATGATGTCAAGCAACTACAGGACAACGACATCGAGTCAGTTACCTCTGATTTGTTCGATATACACTCAGAGCAATCTGAGGAGACCGCTGCAGTGGAGAATCAGGACAGGGCTCATTTAGCTAGGGTTCTCGCCGACGATCAAGAAATGGGCCCGCTGTGCAGTAAAGTTTTGACTAGAATGGGCCGGACTTGATTCGCCAATACTTTTCGAAAGCTTCTCAAGCCCCTTTATCGAAGCTTGCTCGAAGATGCGGCGACTGAGCAAGAGCGGATAAGTGTGCGCTTGTTAAAGAGCCGGCGTGGTAGACTGCGGGTAGGTGCGGCAATTGCGAAACTAATCGAACCAGATGACGACGAAGATGCGAGCAATATGAGGAATCAGATCGAGCAGAAGAACATAAGAGCTGCATACCTCAATGACTGGATGGCCACAGTGCCACACCATAAAACTGACATGACAATCGACCAACAATCTAGAGATCAAGAACATGATCATGAATACTCTTCAAGCGAAGATGGGGATTCCGAAATCGAACGTGAAGAAGCAGAACTTCCTCATCTCACTGAAATGGAAAAGTTTTTCCGGAACTCTAGACCATTCCAAACGTTACTCAACGAGGTTAGAAAGTTGCTTCTTCTTCAATCATTGAAGCATGTCTTTCAGTCGATTCCCAAGGATCGAATTTGGCTTTCAAGGCAGCAAAATCAGTCTCTTGTTAACCAAACAAAGACGTTTATTGAGGACTTTACTCAATTGGAATGGTGCTGGTGGCCCCTGGGGCGTCGAATGAAATTTCTACAGGAAGATGAAACGCGCCTCTTTTGGCAATGCGTAAGTGCCATTGTATCCCGAGAAAGCCATGATCACTGAACCTAGACAGTTTTGTGGAGCACGCATTTGGAAGGAAATATCTCTTGAAGAAGCTGAACTTATCAACGGGATCCTACCGAACCTAGACAAAAACCCGCCAGGGCCACATCGATGCAACGTAAAAAGAGATTCAATATCCTTGGGAAATTGGTTAGCTCGTATCATTCGAAAACCGCCTACGTCAAGTGCGAGTCAGCGATATACTCCTCCCAACAACGCTATATCGTCGACAACGACCGGCGAAGCACTACAATCCACCAGTGCCGGTCAATCTGATACTGGACAAGACCAGTGCCAGCAGCAAGGGACCGTTTTCGAGGGCCAGCAATCTACAGGCGCTTCAGTACATTCTGCCACGACAAGCGAATCGTGGGTCCTGTTTGGAACCTAGAGCTCTCGTCGGACTCTGGAAATCAGCCACATTGCCATTGATACATGTAGCAACGACAGTAACCTCTATCGCTCATTAAGGCAGCACTACCGAACCAATCGCGGAGGACTTCGATGGTGGTTTTCCTTCTGGAGATTAGATTACTGCGAAGTCGTGAAGGCATGAATTTGAAATCCCGGCCCAATACTGTAACTGTAGCTAACTGAGACGCTAGTTCAAAAGGATTGCACCAGAGTGGATCATTAGAGACCGCAAGGACCTACCGAGCGATCCTGAATACACATATGATCCTCGGCCACCAAAAGCAACGAACCCCCCAATATCTCGCCACGAGTTCTCCATGCATCTCAATGCCTGCGACCATCCGTGTCGTTGGCCGTTCTGTCATGATTGCATGCCACATCTAGATACCTCAAGTGCCATAGCCTGCATTCCGAAGAAAAGGAAAAGATTCGACACGACTTCTAATAAACCTACAGATCTTTATGCCTGGGGTCTGGAGGCGAAGCACGTGATTTCGGCCGCTTATGTGGCGGTTTATCATGTCATCATATTTCTTCTTCCTTTTGGCTTGTGGGGATGGTGGATCAAGAAACACACAGACGACCTACAAGGCGCCTCCGTTCCTGTTACCATAGTCTTTGGGCTACTTTCCCTATTCTGGAGTACAAATGGTATATTGACGCAAGGGCGGCACTTAGTCGATAATTCCGGTTAGTGTAGGATTTGTAATGTAAGTCATAGCCACAATCCAGCATCGTATATAATGGAAAGAGATCAAAAACAACGCAATCATTACAAATTAATGACATTAGAACTTTAATGACTCAATCTTCCGCCTTACAAGGTAACCGGGAAAAGCTTCAAGTTATCAATCCACATTTCCTTCGTCGCCGTGCTGCCTATATCGGCGATGAAATTGACATTAATGACCACACCAACTTGCACGGGTGCACTACCCGCCGGCACAACAACGTACCCCTCACTCGTAAACGTGGCCCACGCATCCGAACTGACTTCCTGGGTAAACATCGTCTGCCGGTTCACTGCCGCCCCGACAATCGTCACCGCTGACACCCCGATGCTTAGCGTGTTGGCCGCGGGCGAGACGCGGCGGGCGTCAAAGGAAAGTTTGTAGATCGTGCCCGGGCACAGCAGCGCGCTTTGGAGCAGCCGGTGGTCACTGTTTGAGACGACAGTCTGCACGCTGAGGACTTCGGAGCCGTCTGATGCTGCGGCGGTTTCGATGGACTTAAGCCCCATGTTGTCGGAGCAGGTTGACGGGATCACGATCCAGCTCGCTAAGTAGCCGTTCGTGAAGTCCTCGAAGCTGGGGTTGGAGAAGGCGTTGGTTGGGCAGGATGTCGGGGCTGAGGACGTCGCGGCAGCCGGCGAGACGGTCACGGTGGATGTGGCGGTAGTTGTTGTGGTTGCGGTGGCGGCGGACGCAGTGACTGTGACAGCGGCGCATGTGGAAGTTGGGATGGACGAAGAGCTTGGTGATGGCACGACTTTAGCGTCGCAGGTTCCAGTTTCGGTGGAGATGACTCCATTCACGGCACCTTGCTTGAGGTAGCAGGTCCCCCCGCTTGTGAAGGACAGATCTGTGCAGCCGTCGGTTGTGGCGCACCTCGTCATGCAGTCCACGAAGGAGCTGCCAAAGGAAGGGTCCCCGAGGTTGTTGAAGGATTTAACGGCATCGGCTTCAACGAGGAAAGATGTGCCCCTAGCTGTGTACACAGAACCGCTGGCAATACCACCACAGTCGGTGGCGCGGACTGCAATCGAGAGGGTTGTGGCCGGAAGCAGGAACTGCGCGAATGCAACGAAAAAGAAGGAAAACATCGTGGAGTATTGGCACCGCGGGAAAGAGAGTGTGGGTAGAGAGCTGATACTGGAAATGAGAGACGTGAAGCTGGAAAAGCGAAAGTAATAAGAATGACATTCAAAGCCCGAAAGCGGCCATGGCTCTTTTTATACGAATTTGCTCGTTGGTTAGTACGGATCGTGGCTGGAGGGGAATTCTAGAAACCCAGCTCTGCGGTGGTCTCGCCTTGACTTTCGTGAATCAAGCTTGCCTGTGCGTGAGGCTGGCCAGGACTGTTGCAGCATAGAGCCCTCTCGCGCAATGTTAGCAGCGGGAACGGCACGGATATTGCGACTGGACCGAGAATAGCAATGTGAAATGGCTGAGCTGATGGGCCCACCCAGGGTTCCGTAGCGGCAGATGGCATTTTAAGGTTTTGACAAACAAAGAAAATGTACAGGCCCGACTTCGGAATATCTTCAGCGGCCTACGCGTTCAGTGATGATAGGAATGATAAGAGGAGGCATCATGGACTAGGCAAAGTCATTCACAAGGTTAAGAGAAATCCTTGTCGGTATAGAGTTTTCCGCGCAGTGTCGTGACCCCTTATTCGTGGCGTACGGCAGAAAAGAACGCTTACCTCGTTGGTGGTGCAGATAGGGCTAGGGAATACGCCTAAGAAGCCTATGGCGCTCGCCCGAGCTCTTCTAGACTCCTCTCAAGCCGAAAGCAGCCTAGTGGTCTGCCTGCCGACCGGATACGGATGCCGTGCACATTATGGACAACTTCACACTACGGAGAGTATAATTGTATCAAGAGTCACAATGGAGCAATTTAGACGCCAGTGACCCCCAAAACGGCGAGATCACGGGGTTCTCAAGGGGAATTTGAGGCGCCACGGGCCACTTTCCCACACAAAAACGCCCCTAGCTACCTAGAGTAATATTGGCGAGAGGGAGCTTTTGGTATCAAAGTAGGCAGATTTTTACTGGAACCCATACAGAATCGTAGCGTAGGTGTAGTCGACTCGAGAGGCAGAGCTTATATTACTATGGATGTAGTCCTGCACGTGACCGGAAAGATTCGAGAAGTCACGTGCCTAAGAGTGTTAGATTGAATAACTCCCAACAGCCGCCAGGTTTCAGTCTCACAAGTTTCGAGCGAACTTGCCCTCCAATATACCACGGCTAAAGGTTGACGTTGGCGCAGCACCTTCAGAGGGAGCCTTTCCGATCGCCTTCCTCTTCTCCTTTAGCTCCAACCCAATAACAAGGGAATCACTCGTATACGGGCCCAAGGGACTCTATCCTTTGATACCAGGTAGCCCACTTGTTATGATCATCTCGGCCTCCAGGCCTCCTCCTCATATATCCCGATACTCTTTTCTCCCGATAATTCAAGGGAAAAGTCCCTGCGGTACAACCACCCCTCGCATTTGTCGCTTCAGAGCCGAGAGCCTCACGGCATAGTCCAAACTAGACTCGTGAGGTTGCATCTCACGCCGACCCACAAGCCGAAGAGCTGCTGTTCCAATACCGCTCCATGGACAAATCTCCATGTTTACTCTGGAGTCGGACGGCACTTCATCACCGCTGTTCAACCTAGCCTGCTCATCGAACTGCCCGACGAGGAGCCAGGCGATAACTCTTTCAGACCGACTGCCCGCTAACACGGCACTGGTCAGTCCTCTTTTGCCAACGTAGGAGATTGCCGCGCCTTGCCGCACCAAGAGCTTCACAGCATCCAAGCGGCCACATGCACAAGCTATCATCAGAGCTGACCCGATGGAGCATCCTTCAAAGTCGATCTCCGCACCCATTATGAGACAGTTTTCCATGATCTCCAGGATACCGCGTGAAGATGCTCGACATAGAGGGCTTATTCCGCGTTCTGGCTGGAGATTCATGATCCGCTTAAGAGCGTCATGAGGTAGTCGTCGCCGATATAATTCGAAACTGCTCGTCAAGAAGGCCATCTTGTGAAAATCGGGCCAGTGGTGGTGCCATGGAAAGGGCGTCACCTTCTGCAATGCGCTGTTCCAGCCAGGCGATAGTTCTGAATACCCGCTATAGCACATTGCGCCGTGCAAGAAGCTTTTTTCTCCGAAATCCTCCTCTGAGGGCTCAGGTACAAGGTTTTGTAGTCCTAACAGGGTGTCCCGGGAAAAGCGGGTACACGAGACTATGGTTGTCCTGTCCAGCGAGGGAGCCGTTCCTTTGTAATACCCCGCCGGCGTCTGTTCGAATAGCAGCTCGGGTAAGTATGCTGAGTTTGATATGTTGTCTAAGAGCAGCGCGAGAGGCCATGACAGAACTATCCCCGTTGCCGCTCCCTGCTGGACTAGACGCACAGCAGCGTCGGACGTAGTTTCTTTGTCGCATCTAGCGTACCCAACCACGAAGCTTTGTGTGAGGACGCATTCCAGGGGAGTCAAATAGTTGGAGTCACATCCATCAACAGTTGCGCCCCTATTGAGCAAAAGTTCGATGGCTGGGATATTCCCGTATTGTACGGCGACGTGGAGCGGTGTGTAAAATATGTCGCCTTTGAGGGAGTATATGCGTTGGTTAACCACGTTTGCAAGTTTTGGTGATGCTGATTGCGAGGAAGATCTGGTGGATTAGTACGCAGCTACGTCAAATGGGTCTGCGGCGCGACTTGCCTGATGCCTTCAGCTAGTTCTTTCACGAAGTCCAAGAATATTCTTAACCCCTCTGTATTATGGCTTCTTATAGCACACTCTAGGGGGTAATGAGTACCGTCGGGCATACCACCGCCCTGCTCTATGTATTGGATGAGCAACCTGTAGAGTATGGGGTTCAAACTGGTGTACGAGATGGCGATTTCAATGGCACTATAGCCGCCGGGATGGTCACAAGCTGATTTCAGAGTCGTCGCTTTGCACTGTAAGAGCCAGTCGACTATGTGCAACCGTTCGTAGCGTATAGCTTTCATCATAGGCGAGCATCCGTGGCAGCTTGGCATACTCGTGTCAAGCGAACAGCCCGCGCGATATAGCCTCTGGCACTCCTCAAGATTGTCTCTCATGATTGCATGCTCAAGAGATCGTGCTAGAAGTATCATGCGTTTCCGAGATATGGAGTTTATGTCGACGGAAGACGAGGTCTCCACACCGAGAGGAAGGTATTGGTCCAGAAGTGTGATCATGTCCTCATTCTTCAAGGCCGATGCATACATCATGGGAGTCATTGCGACAGCGTCTAGTGAGCTTTTTGCCCCCGATTCGAGGAGAACTTTGACTGCTGACAGACCTTCCGCTCGAACTGCTAGATGCAGGGCGGTGCTTCCATCATGGCTCTCTATGGCAAGGTTGGCTCCTTGAACGTGAAGCCGGTGGATGGCGGCTGCTCGATCATGGATTGCAGCGAGGTGTACTGCAGTATATCCATCGACAGTCATTACGTTGATGTCCCCTAAGAGGCTCTCGTCAATGTAAAAGTCCATGATTTCGTTCAGCCCTTGCCCCGCGATGTAATGTAACGAAGTGACGCCTTCTATGTCTTTTGAACTACCTTCAAATTTAACTGCGCACGTGAAAATGCCATTCCATTGAACGGGCGTTCCAGTCTCATTCGAGTAGCGTAATAGCCGTTTCAAGAACGATGTGCCGCTTTCGGTGAGGGAGGCTCGAACAGGATCGAAGGCACTGTTCACGAAAGGATTTGCTCCCAACTCGAGCAGTACCTCTGCCATCCCATAAGCGCCACGGGACAAGTGATGCACCAGAGGAGTATAACCTGGTTTAAACATCGCTTCGCCATTGATATCAATGCCCCGCGCAGTTAGCTCATTGACGAGCCAGTGTGTGAGCGTTTTTCTACCATGCTGAGCCTCGACGACCATGTGCAGAAGGCCGAGGCCCAGGCCGTGGGGACTGCAATCCTTCATTTCTTCCTCTGCTGAATGTGAAAGAAGAGCGAGCAATACTTCTTTAGGGTCTGTCTCGTCTGATTCCATTGATTCATGGGCAGTGCTGAAATTCTGCACGGCAAACTCCATGGGCGAAGTCTGGTCGATACGCTGATGAACGCTTACGCCGTATCCAAGGATTAGCTTGATAGCTTCCAAATATCCGTCTTTGACTGCCATTTTCAAAAACGCTACCGCGATTGGGGATGATTTTGCATCCTCCCAATACGCAGACTCTAATATGATAGCAGACAGTGTTTTGCTACTAATTATCGTTGTGTACAATTTGCTTTGCTTGCGTTCTAGCCCTAACGCAGAAAACAGCGGTAACACTCCTGGCTTCCGCTTCATTTCCTCATACGATACCATCGCTCCGAGGCGAAGAAGTGTTGAAATGACATAATCGAAGCCGTTATAAAGAGTATCCACTTTATTCCATGATGCCGATCTGATTGGGACTTGTTTGCAACAGAATGACCAGACTGTTTCCCCATCGGTATCCTGGGAGGAAACTGCGTCTTGGGTCGCTAAAACGGCTAACACCCCCTGCTGCGGCATACGATTCAACTTGAACTGTCCTTCAATGTACCTTTCGAGAGGGGTTTGCCCCTGGAAACGAAGTTGGTGAGCCTCTGGGTAAATGCCGTTCAGAATCTGCGCACATTCGGGAGTTGCGTCGGATCCGAGCTGATGCAAAGGGGTGAAGTTGTCGTTTCTAATTGGATCTGGGTCTGCACCAGCCTGTAGAAGGTGCTCGATGACAGTTTCAGAACCAAACTCAGCTGCCGCGGCAAACACCGGGCCATGGGCCTTCCAGAACTGCGGTTTTCCAGCGCAGTGGTCTATGACGAGGAGCAATCTGGCGACCGCCTCTTCAGAGTATCTATCCGTGAGCGCCTCTAGGATGGGAGTCATGCCGGAATGTGTTCTCGCCAGCAGTGCCTCGGTCGTCTGATCCTGGTCCAAATCAAGGAGCCTCCTCAAGATCGATGTGTAATTATGCTGAGAGTCGACACAATAATGCCACAGATTTTTACCGTTTGAGTCGGTGGCAAGGTGTGAAGCGCCTTTTTGCAGAAAAACTTCTAAGGTGGAACGATTATCATACCTAGCGCATAAATGGATAGGGAGTACCCCATCAGAGTCTGGGGCATTTAGGTCGCAACCGGATTCTACCAGGATCTGGCTGACGGATTCAGACCTCTCCTGCGCGGCCACATGTAGCAAAGAACAACCGTAGTACGGACGGTCGAGAGATGGGTGAAACGTTCCTCGAATATCCAATTTTTCATCCTTCAAACAATCCTGCAAGATTTGGGGATCATCACAAAGGACCGCGCTCATTGCCTCTGCACGCAAGAGATCTTCGGTGCAAGTAGAGTCCGAAACCATGGGGTTGATGTTCCATTCAAAGGAAAACAAAAGTTGAGAAGCAGCCGTCCACGCTATAGATGCAATTTGGCGCCCAAGCTCCGTCCCATAAATCCGTGTAATGATGATGTGATTGAGGAAGTCGCGTAGAGTATCACTCATAACGACCTTCATCTTTTCGTACTGGATATCCCATTCCATCTTTTGATCCCATGTTGACATGCATCTACCGAAGCTATCCAAACTTGTTGGGCCCGGGACTACACCGAGGGACATAAGCTTGTTTGTAGCTGAGAGGTCCAAGAAGACTCCCGCAAGAAGGAACGACAAATCTAGCAGATTTGATCCTACCTGCGATGCCGAGTTAGTCACTACGGCGCCGGCACCCACGAGTAGCTCAATCGTTTCAAGCCTGTTCTTTCGTGCTGTGTCTGACCTTAAGTTCAACTCTTCGCACCATAAATTCCCATGTGGAGAAGACTCCTTTTGGTCTTCGGTCTTCCAAAAGGCAGCGAGGCTGGCCGTAGCAAGCTGAAGGGGACTTCCCCAGGCACTATTGTGGTTGAGGTCTGATTGATCAGCGATAAGAGACTTGCAAATCTCGGGAATATGGAGGGCAGCAGCTAGATGCAAAGGAGAGAAAAAGTCTTCAGTCACGCTGCGGACATAGAAGTCAAGGCTCCCTGCGCTGTCTTCTGGGGAACGTGGAAACTGCCAAACTTTATCCCCATCATGAAAGTGGCGAAGGAACTCGACGCTCCATGCTAGAAAGTGAACGGTTTTCGGCCGTCGAAACAGCGAAATGGCAAGATTGAAAAGCACGGGGTCTCCGAAGTAGTTTCTGGCAAATTTCGGCCACAGTATTGCTGCGTACTCGTAGAATGGATTTTCAAGGTTCCTTTGAGAGATGTACACGGCTTCCTCTTCCGAGGGCTCGGGATGCCTTCCAAAATTCTTCAGCTGCAGAAACCTAAGACACTGCGTGGCTAGGAGTGTGTAGCTGTGTGGTTCTGATAGATGATATCTTTCCAACGCCGACGAGTTAAGTAGAGTGGCGTCTGTGAGAAACTCTTGTACCGAAAAATGCGAATATTCAAAACGGTTCCCATCTTCGGATTTACGGATCAGGCTGCTACATCTCCTGGCGATCTCATATTCTGAAATCAGATCTAACTCGTCCAATGTTACGCCAAAAGTTTGAGGGGCTGAAACGGCTTGTTGAAGCTGAAGGATCGTCAGCGGCGGAGACGCGAAGGCGATGAATTGTAGGCACATCTGCACCAACGATTTCACTTTTGCGGGACACTTGTCGACTCTCTCCAGAAGGCGACGGTAAGTCTCCGGAAGATCTGGGGGCAGCTCGTTCAGGGCTTCGCGTCGGTCTGCGTCATTGACGCAATCACAAAGGTAGTCGAGTTGGCATGCAACCCATCGGAACCTAGTGGTTTTGGCAGATTAGACATCTTGACGAGTCGTATAGGGGCCACACAAGTACCCACATCCCTTTAGCGCGCTCGACGAGCCTGTTCATGATCTCGTCTCTCAGCTCCAGACTCGTGATCCGAAGCTGCCGGTTCTGAATTCGTTTATCCATCTCTGCTCCAACGTACAGCCTGATATCGTCGCTCTTTGCGGCGATGGGAATATGATCGAAGTCTTCTCGAAGCCACTCCTCTATATTGACTTCATGACGACTTAGTAAAGCCATAGACATGTTTGGTGTGTAATTAGCAAGTTCGGAGAGAGTTTCTACCACAAGATCGGTGTTGTCTCCGCATTCGTCGAGCCCATCTACAACAACGAGAATTTGTTTGAAATGCTCCGACATCTCGGTTATCTTGGCTCTCAAATCTTCTGTATCCAAGCTCTTTTCAAGATGCCTAGCAGGATGTAACTGGTCGTAGTAAGCCTGCAATTTGCTGTATGCGTCATCGTTCTGTCGGCTAAGTTGGGAAGCTATTGCGCCAAGGATTTTGACGATGTCCCAGGTGGTCGAGTCCTTGTAGTCGCAGAAGAAGAATGCAACACCGACTTCAGGTTGGGAATAACTGCGTGTTAGTGCGTCTTGGATGACAGCACCGGCTAGCACGGTCTTGCCAGCTCCTGGTATGCCACTCAACCACAGCTTCGAGCCTGGTGTCTCTAGCCAAGTGGTGAAGCTCGGTGAACCGGTGAGCCAGAGTCCTGTCATGGGTTGTCGAAGTTTAACGCTCGTTTCTAAGTTCGGCTGTGGGCTGGCCTTCATGAAGAAATCCAGTACGGCTTTCTTGGAATCGCTCATTGTGATTTGGGTGTATATCTCTATCCTCTTTACAGCGTTCGCCATGGAAGACAGACTTTGGCTAAGCACCTCCTGTTTTCCTAAGCAGAGCTGAAGTTTTTGCATTGAGTCAACAGAGAGCGCGAGGGAGATGGTGGTTTTATGTCTGATAAGGTCCTCCAGAAGCTCTTTAGTCTCCCCAGTCGAAAAAGGCCATTTGACCTGCTGAAGTATCTTTTTTGCCTTCGAATCCTTCTCAAATTTCGTGTGCGCCTTCTCCACTCGCTGCTGTAGGCGGCCGAGGGTACTGCTCAACGATCCGAGATGGTGCGCTCGAATAGTAGGGTCGAAAGAAGTCCCTTCTGCTTCTAGTCCGCTTGCAAGAAGACGGAGACTCTGTAGGACCCCGGCTAATGCCTGGATCTCGTCGGCGAGAGTTTTGACTTCCTCCTTGGCATTGATTGCAGACCTTGCGTACTTGAAAACGAGTCTGAAGACAGTGTCTGCTACAGAAATAAGACCGGCGATGCTGCCGGCGACAGAAAGCGGATCGGCCATATTGCATGCCTTGGCTGTCGTGCCTGCGACCCGATCTCTTTAGCGGAGACGAAATCTTGTCGGGTGGTTGTGGATGATAACGTATAGAATGAATTTGGGATGGCTCCGTAAATTGCACGGATCTTGACGTCGTGGATGTTCACAACGAGATGCTTTGGAAGTAGGCTTCATTATGGTGCTGCCAAAATCTCAGCCTGGTCGAGGAATTCAGCCAAGGCTGCTCACCGCTCCACCGAAAAGCTGCCTTGGCGCATTCGGGCAGAGCTGCATCTGGGCTCCTTTTCGAAATCAACCTAGGTTGATCGGGGCGGACATGCGGTGTGACATTGTTTGTTGGCAGCCTTCTCCGGAGATGCCACAGTGATGCATTTATTAGAGTGTTCTGAACAGAGGATGCAGCCAGGTCGTTCTCTTGCGAGGCGCTAGTGAGGGTGTTGAAACCGCCGAGGGACACCCGAACTCTTTTCATTAAACAGCTGTCTACACTATATCAGTTTGCATGGCTCTCAAAAATATATGGGCTTGAATTGTAGTGAAATTATACCCGGTGTCCCAAAGATTCCGATTATATAGTACTGTCTGCTACTCTGAATACAGGAAACTAGATGATACAAGAGACTGGATTCAAAGCCTGGTAGCTAATATAGACTGCAGTCTGAAAAGATAACCCGGGTAAAATGGTAGAGCACTCATGCTAGCAAAATCCACCCGTTGGGATCATTACTCACCCCCCTAATACTGGGTTGTGCCCGCTTCCAGGCTCCAGCTGGCCCCCGTATGACACTGGCTTCCGCCTCTATAAGGGCCAACCGCTGCACGATCGGGATACAATTCAGGAACCTGTCATACTAAGGCTCGAGCAAGTAGGCATCGTTAGAGTTGCTTGAGAAGGGAAGCTGGTGCCGCTAGAGACCGTAGAGTTGTTTCGTGTGCATGCCTCCAATGATAGGCTAAATAAGTGACACAATCTACGCCTAACCCATAAAGTGGCTTCAGTAGGTTCAAAAGCACTCGTACATGGGGCGTGACGAGGATGGGACCAAGGATTTGATCTTGGGAGTCAGTACAAAAGGTCGTTCAAAGCACTGGGTGGGCATTAGCTACCTGTATGGCAGTGCGGTTTATCAGATGGTGAGTTTCCAGACTTACATCTACCATATCTCAATTTCAGTCCAAGAACCCGGATCAGGTGCCACGGGCTTTCCACATACACCCAACATCTTCCGGGCACTAGAACAAAATGCTGATCAATGCGGCGTAATACATGAGGAACTTTCGCAACTTCGAGAAGCCAGATCTCATCTTGTACCTGCATTCCGGGCGAACCGATGGCAAATGAGTTGGTGCCGCAGGAGACTACAGAGCCGGAGCCAAAAGAGGACTTCTCGTTGATAAACGAGCTAAGAGCAGACTTGAGATGGTCCGGTATGGTGTAAGTGAGGGAGGCCCATGAACCACAGCTACAAGAAAAGTCATGGAGCCTTAGAACTTGAAGATGTTGGATAAGATCGTTATCAATGCCCAAAAGCTTGGGCCAGAAATCCTTGAGATCGTCCTGGTGGGAGAGAGCGTTCATTAATATACACTGATAGGACAAGGAGATCGAAGTTGTCTTTGAGCGGGTACTTTGATCGTGTGTCAAAGGGTTTTCTCAACGTTCTGATTCATAGCTTCTGTCGTGAACGATGTGTAAAGAAGTATTGCTTTCGTGGTCATTGTAGAGTGAATATTCATAGCCTATGTCGTGGGTAATGTATGCCTTGCCCACTTAATACAATAGCTCACGGGGATCGTGAAGCAATCGCCCAAAGACCTTCAACTTCGGACTCAAAGGTGGTTCCGCCAGTTTCCGGGCCCCTCTACACGAAGAACGCTTGGCGCGGTAGACGGTTTGCTTGCATTAAGCATTTCAGTTATTGTGGCCTTGCTCATGGATTTTCCATTTGGCTGGGACGAGATGTCTGGGACCATCCAGTCTGGCACCCAGGATGGCAAGGGGAAATTGCGGATGACATTGTCGATCACATGCGACAATATGTCCAGAGATTTGGAACTTTCCAAAATTTGAGTAGCAACTTCGTTGAACACCCAAGAGACGTCTTTAGAATAGTCGGCTCTGAGGGAAATTCCCGACTGCTCATCTACAAGACCAAGCAAGGCGAAGACTCTATCTCTTGGATCCATAGCGGCGCAGTTACGTCCAGCTTCAAGGCAACTCAGGAAATCGTGGATATTAGCTTGAAGATTGGCGGATAACCTCAAGACTCCTGGTATTGGTTCATCAATCGGGTTTATAGGCAGTCCAAGATTTTTGAACTTATCGATGGTAAACATATCCTAATCAAGGCATCTTGACCCGCACATAACAGTTGCGCATTTTGCTAGCGCCACTTCTTGGAGGATCCAGGTCCTGTGAAACCACCTTCGGGCGAGAAACTTTTGAACTGCGGCCGCCGATGGAATTTGAGCTCTCGGTTTTGGAATAACTTCGACGGACCCACCGCTATGAACAACAAGACAATGACTGAGGTACTCTAATAGCGCGTTAATATCGCTAGAAGGCTCTCCTAGATAGACTAAAACCTGAATGGCATTTGCATATATGTTTTTCATGAGCCAAACTTGATGGTTGCGTTCTGAGACATTGTCTTGATTAATGCATAGAGTCAATCCACACTACTCGTTTCCCATCTCGTCGACGTACTTGGCGGAGCGCTGCCTCACAGTTCTCTGTCACAGGAACAAATTGTCGAGTCCTCGAATGAATGAGCTTCCTGTCGAAAGACAGCTCCAGTTCGGAACTTGCCCATGTGTAGGATATTGCCTCGTATTCTAGTCGGTCAAGAAGATTTGCATGCGTGAGTTCACAAAAAATGGGATCCGTAGAAGCAATCTGATCTCTTGTCCAAGCTCGAAGTTCAAGGGTCGGTAGGAATATTGCGAGCCTGGGATGAGAGCGCTCTCGCTGTATATGCCCTTCTCGGTAGGGAGTACGTTATCATGGAGCAGTGCAAAGCCACAAGACAGACAAGAACGATGGGATTTCGAGACGTATATGTCCAGGTGTGAGCAAGGCTGAGAGCTCGAGCTGACCATCGTGGCAGGGGATCGTTCGAAAAGCAGCGATGAACGACGAGGGGAGGAGAATGATTAAAGGCAGGAAAGAAAGTCGCCGTCAAAGCCCGGCGCAGCGTAGATATAGACGCTGAGCCTGCCCAGAGAAAGGGCGACCGCCAATGCCGAGGCAAATAGAAAGGCAGAGATGCGGCTAAGCCTTGCACGTGGCAATCGTCTTAGCCACGTAGGTATTGATGCACTCTGGGACCAACCGTTAAGGAACTCGCTCGCTTGAGATGTACAGCCCCTTTGCGCATGTTGTGGTTAGCGTGCAGATGGCTGCAAGGGTAAATAGTAGTACTGAAAGCTGATAAGAGAGGGTTCAACGGCCACAATAGCCTTTACAGGGTTAGAGGGCCTTTGTTACGCAGCATTTACGAGATACACTGACCACAGGATGCGCAAAGAGATGTACATTGATTAGGGCCCCAAGTGGATGTCCATAATACTTCACAGTGCTTAACCCAGGAGGGCGAAGTTTTTTTTTGAAATGCTCATCACATGGAGGGCGGGATGTATTGATCCGGTTAGCGTGGTATTAGCATGCCGCAGGGCGGTGGGACGCGGCATCTTCCCAACAGCGCCTTAACGACGGTGGATGGTAGGGACTTCTAGAAAATAAGAAAGGTCTTAGGGAAACAGGCATGCTGTATTACGACAGAACTAAAGTAAATGGACGAGGGTTCACAAATCGCGTTACAAGATCCTGTAATGAAATGTGCTACCTCTGTACGGAGAGTGGTTTAGTTCGATAATTTTCACTAAACCCCGCATCGTCCTATAATACCCCCATCTCGGCCCACATCTTATCCCTGCAACTCGAATAATACAATACTTGCTAACCATCGTTTCTTGCAAGACGCCGATGTTATGTCCTACTTGCTTCACAATGTATGTAGCGTTAAAAGATACGCAACTAATTGTAGCAGGTTTGCGGTAGTAATATTTAAAGGGTATACATATTGAAAAGTTGCAAGGCCACTCAATAATCACATTACAGGTTCTGTATGGAATATGCACGAGCTTGTGGTTTAGTGGAACCACTGCCCCTTTGGCATATGGTTTGAGGTTCTAGAATACTGTATTGAAATACCGCATGATTATTTGTGATGTTGGCACGATGCCCCACCTTCTCGCCAAATATATATACGCGCCCCGCCCTCTCCCTCAAACAGGAGCCCGACGCCTGCATTCGCACCCTACACGTCTCAATTTACGCCGCAACGTTCTTGTGTACAGCAACAACCACTAAGATGCGCAAGTCACGGAAACATTGTCAATAAAAAAACTACACTCAGCATCCGCCTGGTACTGCAGCTGAATCTGGAGCGTTGGGCTATCACTGGTCGTTGTAACCGACCCGGAAATGGGTGTGAAAGAGCCTGGATTGCCGAAATAGTCGCCGACGCAACTCTGGCCACCAATAGTAATTGTAACTTCAGTGTCGTATTCGAACTCCCCGGAAGCGCGGTAATCAATAGAACAGTCGACAAGTGTTCCAGATGGCAGGTTTGTAAGTTGTTGAGTAAGGATAATGTTTCCACCTTCTCCGGGACCGTCAGTATCAATTTCGAATCCATACGCTCCGCTGGCGGCGGCAGCGGTCGACACCTCGTACGCAACCGTTACTCCGGAGTCTCCGTAATTGGCTACTGTGAACGGCGACAGGCTACCGGTCTCGAAATCACCATTAGTGACATACTGAGTGCCGCTGGTGCAGACCGACGGTGTTGCTGAGGCTACGCTGGAGGTGGACGATGGCGTTACGTCAGAAGTTGATGAGGATGAGCTTGTTGAGAGGCTAGAGGAAGACGTAGACGAGGACGAGGAGGACGAGGAGCTGGAGCTGGAGCTGGAGCTGGAGCTTTCAGAGGAAGATGCGGCTGGCGCAACCGAGGTACTGCTGCTTGCTGAAGGGGTGACCGAGGAAGCAGATGAGCTTTGGGAGGAAGATGAGGTTGACGAAGCCGTGCTGCTTGGCGAAAGAGACGAGCTCGTCGTGGTCGTGCTACTCGTCGCCGACGAACTGCTAGCGGAAGTCGTACTGGCCTTCGGAGTTGACGAGGTTGAGGACGAAATCAGTGAAGAACGTGTGCTGTGCGTCGTGGTTGACGAGGACTTAGAAGAACTCGTGCTATGCTTTGCGGAAGAACTCGTGCTATGCTTTGCGGAAGAACTCGTGCTATGCTTCGTGGAAGAACTCGTGCTATGCCTCGTGGTTGACGAGGACTTGGAAGAGGATACCGGGTTGCAGAGCCCATACCCGAGCTGGCATTTGGGGGGAGCGCAGTACTCGGGCGTGCTTCCGCAATGGAAACAATCTGAGCAGCAATTGCCCCATTTCGAACCCAAACAAGTTGTTCCGCCGAAACCAGCGCCGCATCTGCCATTATTCGAAACCGGTTGGCTGGATTTTGCATGTGCGGAAGAGCTGCAGCGCGTTGATGTAGACAAAGTGGTACCGTGTCGGGTAGTGGATGTTGAGGAACTGGTGTGAGACGTAGAGACGCGAAGTGCATCGATTCCGAGGCCAAAGAGGCTCAGTGCCACGATCGGAAGGTGAAAATGCATGACTGAAGATGCTTGCACGTTGATAGAGAATTGGATTGCGAATTATGACTGGTCGGGATATTGAAGGAAAGTGAGCGCCAGCTGCGATCAAGAGCTTGCAAACGGGTACATAGAGTTTGGAGAAAGACTGCGAGACAAGAGGGCGAAGAATCGGTGCCGACCAGCAATTTAAGAGGAAAAGCCATCACCCCGTTACAGATCCTATAATGACCTAAGCGGATGTTAACTTATTTACCCTTGTACTATTAACGATTTACCCGTGGCGTCGCGTGGCAGTCATGCCTGTTTTGGGCTCAGCTGGAGGCTCAACTGGAGGCTCAGCTGGAGGCTAGCGATGTGGCGTCTGGCTGGAATGTCGTTAGGCTCAGGGGTAGGAGGACGCCTTGCTGCATATAGCACGCTCTCACGTCCAGGGGTTAGCGCCATCTATTGTCTATGCCTAGAACAGCAAAGGCACGGCACATTCTTCATTGTACGAAATGCCCCTTTACGATCAATAACGCTAACCACTGGAGTTGACGAGGCGCCGTATAGGACTCGTGGACCGTCTTACGTACACGTATCGGATCAGATGCGCGATTCTCTTTTCTGCATTGTTGTAGCTAGTTTTGCACAATAAAAGCTAGAGGAAGACAGGGATGGAACTGGACTGGAGCGGGATTGAGGCCCTTGAAAAAAGCATTGAACTGGACTGAGGTTCTATTTAGGCCACGTGGATCTGAAGCTATGGATTATTCTGGAGCCTAAAGGTTGTGTATATATGTACATATATGTATGGCGTTAAGGGTGATGTTTTAACGTCTGTAAAGCTCGGAGGTCCGTAGATCTAGTCTAATTAGGTGGGCACGTGATATACACGTGATATAATAGCTATCGTATAACCTTTCATAGTCTTCTTATCTAAGAAAAAGATATAGTTATGTTGGATTAGATATATATCTGGAGCCATATCTGGAGCTCCAGGTGCGCCAGGAGCTCCACAGTAATTTCTGGTGGATCGCGTGGACAAAAGGCCACAAACAGTCCAGTCCAAGTCAATCACTAGAGGAAGACACCACGAATCAACTGCAAAGGGTATGGTACTCTAAAAACTTTGAGCTGCAGTCGGATGGAAAACAAATCAAAACCAAATGTGGGGCCGAAAGCTGTTGCATTGATGATGGTGAGGAAGCTAGCGAGGAAGCTGCTGAGGAAGCCAATAGCCAGGAAGGGGCTATGAATTTAGCGCTTTACCTGAACCACATTTGTTCGCTTTCGCGATTATACTCCTTAAACACGATGTGGAAACATCTGGACTAAGTGACTGTACGTTAGGCCCTACAGAGAACGGCTGGAGCTATACCGAGGAGGGTAGCCTTGAATAGCTCAATCACATCGAACGGCACTCAAAATGGGTAGAGGGCCTGCAAAAGACAATGTCAGCTCAAGGCGACGAAAAACTTCTACTGGTTCTAAATCTCTTTGTCACAATCCCGCCGTAACAAGCGCAAACGCCGCCATAAAAGGCATCATCTTCTACAAAAAGACTCAAGCCCTTTCCAGGCATTTCATCTCGTTATCATTAAGTGACGCCACTACAATATGCTCGCCACCCTCCTCCCGCACATAACCAAGCGGCTCCCAAGGCACAAACAGCAGCAGGACGCCCTCATCACAGCGTCCAATTCTCGGCTCTCCTTCATCCCTCACCACCTCCACGCAGAGTCTCGTCAGTCCTCCCAAACCCTTCGAAGCAACGCCACGCTCAACTCGCAAACCGGAAATCAAGCCTCTTATTCCCCTTATCCTGCGTCGTATTGAGGTAATGCAACCGCTCCTCTCTGGACATCCCATTCCACTTCTCATCCCTGATATTATTCCGCCACACATAATACGCCTTCGACGCCACGAACAGCACGAAATTCCACGCCACCAGCCCCAGCAGCACCTTGTTGCCTCTGTAGTAGTACGGCTTGTCGTCCGTGCGGTAGATCTGGCTCGAGATGATATTCGACGTCTGCACGCCCATGTTGTACAGCGAGGACGCGACGGTGCGCGTGCGCACCGTGCCCGCGTTGCGCGAGGCGAGCGCCACCAGGACCGCATGTGCGTAGGGGTAGCCGATGATCAAAGTGGTGATGGTCCATTTGGCCCAGTTGGAGCCCGCGAAGACGGGCGGCAGGGTCTCGAGGGCGACGAGCAGCGGGAGCACCCAGATCTGCGAAATCAGGCCGATGAGCATGCGCTGGTTCAGCTTCTCCGAGACCCACGTCCAGAACAGCAGCTGCAGGATGAACAGCGCGTACGCCGGGATCGTCAGCAGGTTGGTCTGGAAGGTGTTGAAGCCGAGGGCTTTGCAGGTCAGGGTGATGTAGGTCGTCTCCGGCGTCATGGGCACCTGCCAGGTGAGGCCGAGGAGGTAGATGGGCCACATGTCGAAGTCGGTCAGGGAGCTCCAGAGGGCGCGGAAGGAGAGGCCTTGGCGGTTGTGCATGGTGGCTTTTCCGGGGTCGTCGAGGAGGATTCGGGTGACGAGGATGTATTCTTCGCGCTCGGTGAACCAGCCGCGTTTGGGGCGGAGAGCGCCTTTGAGGCCCTTCCTGCTGGTCTGGGTCGGTGATGCAGGGAGGTAGAGCCAGGTAAGAATGCCGATGAGCCCTGTTAGGGCTCCCTCGATGGCGAAGAGGTAGCGCCACCCTGCTCCAAGAGCTGTGTGCTGGCGGAGGTGGAGGATTCCAAACGCGAGAAAGGCGCCAACGATGGAAGTGGCCTGGTACGCAGTCCAGAACCAGGACAAACGTTTGGGGAGCTCGGCATTCTTGTAGTAGTATGACAGGTACAGGATGACATCCGGAATGAAACCTCCTTCGATCAAGCCCAGGAGGAAGCGGGTGATGTAGAACGTTGTACGACCATCCAGACGTGCTTGGCTAGCGGCCACTATGCTCCATGCTACCATTTGAATTGGAATCCAAACATCGGGTCCCAGCTTCTTGCTGATGAGCTGAGAGGGGAGTTCTGCAAACAAAAACGAGCAATAGAAGATTGTCTGGCCGTTGTTGTAGTCGTTAGTTGTGAGTTTGAGGTCCTCTGTATTCAATTAGTATTTTGAAAATGCGGTATGTACAAAGAAATCAGTACTTACTCAGCATAGTATCGGATAGGGCTTGAGTGATATTGCCACGATCAAGTTGAAGGGCAAAAAACATAATGCAAGCTGGTAACGCGATGCGCCAATCGAGCTGTCGCACATATTAGGTCCAGACAGGAGTGAAGACTAGCAAAGGAAAGCTGGGCTCACAGTTCTGACAAGTGCCTTCTCCTCTGCTGGATCCCACTGAAAAGAGGGATCGAACCGATGGGCGCCTTCATAACCTTTAATGGGCTTGTAGATTTCTTTCGCATCTTCAGTTTCCCAAACATGTTGGCCCAAATTTTCGGCAGTGTCAAGCTTCGTATCTGAGCTCGACGTTGAAACTGCGCCTCTTGCATATCCAGCATTAACGGAAACAAAGCTAACGTCTTTCCCACCTAGCTTCCACCATGGTGTACTCTTGATTGGGTTGGCATCGACATTTCGCAGCTCGCTCCCCTCGACGTCCTGTATATCATCGGGATATTTTTCCTTCGACATGACGACAGCAAAGGAAGATGAGAATGTCCTGGAAAGATTCGCGGCAGCAGGGAGGGTATTATATCCCCTCAACAACTTGTTCGGCGTCCGCCACAGACGTCGAGAAGCCCCAGCTTGGGTATCGCGGGAGATGTGCCAGCATTTGCGTTTACAGCCATGAGATAAATACTGGGCGGGCTGACAGCAGCCCGAGTACCATCGTAGCGATTCATTGGTGGGATAAGGACTCTGAGAGCTACTTTCCTTTTTGAACCGAATTCCTCATTGTTGCTCATTTGAAGGCAATATGATGTGACCAGCCTACCAGGCCGTCTGATCGTCGGCAGGGTGAGCCGAAGCGAGCCTCACCACAACGAAAGCTGGGGTTTGCCAGCGCAGTACAGAGGTAGAGTTTGAACAAGTTTGAACAAGTACAGAATAATACTTGTACCAAGCATCCATAAGTTTTGACTGTGCAAAGCTTGAAGTAGCTGAAGCACGCTCAAGCACTGCTAAGCATTCCGAGACACGCCAGAGGTTGGCCCGAAAGTGGAGCATCCCAGAATCTGCACCGGCTTCAGGCCTTGGCCGCGTGGCCGGCTCGTGATAGTGGTGGCACTGTCACACTGTGTGGTCAATAGTGTGGCCAAAAGCCTGTGCCTGGCCCGATCGTGCGTGGAAAGCGTTGTAGGTGGTACCACAGTGTTTTCAGTCGTCTTTCAGTCACGTGACTAGATCTTGATAGGAGCTCCAGATCTGATTGGTCAGATCTGATCACATGACCGAAAAACGACTTGAAAACACTGTAGTAAGACACGTTGGCTAGACGACATGGCGCGTCAGCCAGAATGCCGGAAGTCACTAGTTACCGAGGCAGTGAATTTAAACCTCGTTCATGCATCCGTCATCGAGTCGAGCGAGGAGTCAGTCGATCGCGATCGAGTTGTAATCGTGTCGGAGTCGGCGGCAGGAATGCCAAACGGGACTCTCAATAGTTCCACCGGGACACACCCCACGCCGTAGACAAAATGCGGGAAGACCCGCGAGAGAGGTCAGGGAACATCGTACCAATGCCATGGTTGTGGAGGTGTATCGCAAGTTTAATCCGCAAAACTCGGGAGATTACGTTCGAATGGTTTTCTGATGAACGGTAGATAGAAGTCACGGTCGTCCCGCTCCGACTCACCCCAGGAAACGGCGAGAGCAGTAGGTGGGTACCGAACCAACATCTCTTCACTGTTAAAACATAAGTGTACACAATGGGAGGACATTTCAATTAATTGCCAGCTCTCGTGATGATGTTATAAACCGATGTGGTAGGAGCTCTGATCCCGCGATTCTTCCCCGCATGCCCCCACTTTCGGCACACATTCTTAATATCCCGCACCCTATAAATTAACCTCCGTAAGATTAACGTAGGTGATCAGGTTATTACGTTTACCCTAGTTATTACGCTTCCGAACATTAAGAAAAAGCTTGGCAAGTGCACGGATTTAGAATTGTAAATTAGATGTACGTTACCAGATTCAAGACCTGGGGAACTGAGAACGACAGGGTATCCATGCCCGTCAGACTGATTTGCCAATTAAGTGTCCAGAGTGCTGTACCGCTTTCCCCGCGAATGACGCCAAGACGAACGCTTCCTGGGGCTTCTAGGACGGCGCAAGATCGGGCCGTCAAATCGCAACGTCTCCCAATCGCAAAAACCACGAGATGGCTAGTACATCCACACTCCTTGCACGTTGCTGCCGAAGGCCAAATCTTCCATGCCGCACGGCTCAAAGCTAAACGTTCATTGACGTGAAAATTCCCTTCAGTTGGCTAGGCTAATACTATTTGGGTGTACCGTTCTTTTCTTGAGCCATTGTGCAAGTACTCACCGTCGAGCCCATAACCGGCTTAGCTTTGTCAAGTCGAGCTATTGGAGAGTGCCTGTAGTCTCGTAGCAGTTGGACCGTCCTACTGCCCTCTGGCGCAATTACAATCACATATCACAGGTGAGAGCCTCAATTGTGCATTCAGGATTGAAGACTTGCGATCGCGAGACACAAGGTTGATTTGAGCGGAGGGGTCGACTGCGGTAAATTGATTTAATAGTAGGCAACCTCTGAGAGAGGATATTATAAACCGAAGCGAAAAAGCGGATGTGAACGGGCAGACGGATTATATTGCGAGTTCGCGGCAGGGCGATGACGGAGCGCTTCGTAGCAGGCAAGACAAGATGAAGAGAGGTGAGGATGGAGGACTCCCGCTGAACCCCGAACAGGCGCGATTAACACTTCGTCATAGCACCGAGCCTTCAGTGAGCTCCCGCATTCTCTAGGCCTCCGTACGGGAGCCATTCCCGTATTCTTTGGGCATCCCCACGGCTAGACGCCCGGTACGGGCGTCTCGAAGATGCGGGCGGTTGGAGTGCGTAGGCGGTGCATGCGGCTCGGCGGCTGGTCAGGATGACTGATGCACGAATATCACCCGCATTTTCAAAGCGCCCGTAGACGATGGTCGCCCGTACGGGCTCATGTGGCGAGCATCTCTTTACATGTGCGCTCCACATGGCCAACATGCTAGGTGCTCCGGTATATATAGGCTTCAAGTTTCCATTGTCATAGCGAACCGAGATCCAAGTGCCTTGGTACTCGGGCGCAACTCAGCGCGTGTCGCCTCGTCCACAATCATCGTCGATAATGTCAACAAAATGCATTGCCCGATCGGCTTCCCGCTTATATGCTCTTTCGATCAACCCCTCCGTTCGCTTCGCAGCCCGAAGATCATTGTCAACCACCATACCACGAGAAGCACCTCAGACTTTGGCACGCGAATTGGGTGAATAATGCTTTGCTATAGCTCACTGACGACTGTTCACTGATTTGGCCTCCGTAGATACTTCCGGTAACGTATCCTTGTCCTCGTACACCTCTGGTCGATATTTGTTCAACGAGGACGTGAGGTTGAAGGAACGTCATGTTAAGTTCAACGTCGAAGCTGTGCAACGTGCAGCCGAAGCCTCCGTTGGCAACAAACATGGCAAGGTTGTCAGCACGAAAAAGCTAGCCGAGGGAGGGTTTAATCGAGTCTTTGTCCTCGAGTTGCAGGACGGTTTCGAAATGATCGCCAAGATCCCATACCACATAGCCCGACCAGAATATTTCGCCACCGCTAGCGAGGCCGCCACTCTTACGCTCCTTCGCTTGAAAGGCATACCTGTCCCGGAAGTATATAGCTACTCCACAATGTTGGAGAATCCTGTCGGTACCGAATATATCCTTATGGAGAAAGCTCCCGGGGTTTGCCTCGCATCCAAATGGGTGGACCTCCAAGACCATGAGATACGAAGACTTGGGCATAGCTTCGTTGAACTTGAAAAAAAACTGTTCGAGATTCCTTTCAGCGCCACAGGTAGCTTGTACTTCAAAAAAGACATTCCATCTAGTCTACAGGCTCCACTGTACACAGAAGAACATGCTACAGAAGCAAATCAATTTTGCATCGGGCCCATTGCCGACTATATGTTCTGGTACGGTAGAAGAGCTGGGCTAAAGTTGAACCGTGGACCATGGAAAAATCACGTTGAATATCTTCAATCGATAGCCCAAAAAGAGATAGACTGGACGCAGCGTTACGGCAAATCGATGGAACCCGACTTCCCCCACAACGATTTGGGACTGGGAGTTCAACGTCCAGAGGACTATCTCAAGCTTTTAGAGTGCTACCAGTTGATGACACCACACCTGCTGCCGAAAGATCCCGCACACCCCTTTAACCAGCCTACTCTTCGTCACCCTGATCTCACCCTCGGTAACATATTCGTAACACCCGAGACAGGTCGGGTTTCATGTCTTATCGATTGGCAGCACGCCATCATCCAGCCACAGCTCCTCGCCGCTGGCTATCCCCGCGCATTCGACAATCCAGACGATGAGCTTTCCCCCGAGTTAGTAGAACCTAAGCTTCCGGAGGACTTGGCATCCTTGCAAGAGGAAGAGAAAGTGGCAGCGCGCGAGCTCTATCGCCGGCGTCTCCTCTTCTTCGGTTACCGTGTGCTCAACGGCCACTTCAACTAGCACCACATCGCGGCCCTACGGGAGCCCCTTCTTCTCGGTCGCCAGATGCTCGTGGATAGGGCCGGCCGTCAGTGGGAAGGCAATCTCATAACCCTTAAAGGAGCTATCGTACGCGCGGCCCAGTTCTGGGAGCACTTGCCCGATGTTGAGGATATTAAGTGCCCGGTACAGTTTGATCAAACTGAACTAGACGAATTCGCAGAGAATGAGGACAGCTGGCTGAAGATGAGCGTCGCCGCGGAGCAGTGGAGGAAGAGTGTCTGTAATATGACCGAGGAAGGGTGGGTCCGAAATGAGTATTATGAGGAAGCAAAGAAGAAGCTTGCAGACCTGAAAGAAGAGATTCGACTACAATGTGAAGGGGACGAGGAAGATATGCAAGCGTTCCGGACAGGTTGGCCATTCCGAGATCGCGAAGAAGTTGATTGAAATTTGAGAGGGATTGTTTCGTACAGCGCTTCTACTTTGTCGCCGTTTTTCTCGGCCTTTTTGAAGCTGCTTGTTGGGTGAACGAGGTGTTTATGGTGACACTCCTAATACCTGGATGAATCATGAAAACAAGGAGCTAATAGCGTTTCATTAAAGTGTGACCTCGGGAAGAATCTACAATGACCGAACACTCTATGAAATTGACCACAAATAAAACCTTCATTAGTCAGGGATGTGCAAATTCGCCTGCGTCCATGGGACGAACGGAGACTGAGAACACTGATAAAGTTCTGACCGACTTCGGAAACTTGTGTCGACCGTCGCCACCATTAGAACTGTGTCTGCGCTTCCGACTACGTTGTGTTATGGGATCGCTGAGAACTTCAATTGGGCTATCTAGGCTATGTCAGACGGCGTGAACTCGTGGAAGGAGGCAGGGTGGCTTACAGCGGAACGACGTGCAGAGGGCTCATCCAAAACAATTGGGTTCTCTGTGCACAGTTAGTGTTCTGTAGCTGCAAATGACAGGTAGGCACGGTACGCTAACTATTTGCATTCCCTAGACTGCCAAGAGCAGAACTAGTGTTGGGAGGAATTACTTCAGTGGTCTCGTGATGTTTGACGTAGGTAACACCGGGTTCTCGAGTAGGGTTGGTGATCTTAGTCACCAGAGCGTCAAAAACAGCGGTTTCAGCCTTGGCCGCTCGGAGCAACGTAGGAACCACTTTCAGAAGGTAAGCATAAAGCGACACCAGCCTACATACAATTGCTAACTATCCCAGAAGAAGGTGTCAAAGCCTCACGAATACCTTTCGCCTCCAGTTTCACCTCCAGCTCCGCGTCGACCCGAATTGTCGAACGGAACAGCAGTTCAGCCTGATCTGAGAGCCGCCTCACCATGCGCGACTACTCAACGCGGTGGCGAGTGAGCTCCCTTTCCTGACGCAGCTCATGAGTTCTGTAGCAATCCAGTTGTCCATCCTTCCGCGCGAGAAGCATGCTTACTAACGCTGCTCCCTCTCGAGCACTCTCCGGCACGCTTGGAGCACGCCTGCGGCGGGGTACTTCTCAACGTCACCGGCGACGAGCGCCATCATGGCGGCCAATCTATTTCCACGCTCTCACTCAGCAGAGGGGGCCGCCCGGCTAGTTTGGCTATCCTAGCCAAGCTAGCCGGCCGTGCACAGTGCACCGGCTGCATGCAGATGTTGAACTGTGTATGGATTGGGCAACAGAAGCCTCCGTAGGCCGTGCCAGCCAGCTGTAGAGCAAGCTCATGGTGTTGAGGGCGCATCGGCGAGGCCGCCAAGGCCTCGCACGAGCCGCAGCCGGTCAATGCAAACCGTGAGGTTGCTCAGCTGTACGCACGCACCGAAGGAGACCTCCTAACGCACTCTATATAGTGAGGCAACTAGCTATGTAGATACAAAGACAAAGGGATGGTGGGCGGGTAGAAACAAGGCTCTACTGCTGCGTGAGATATCGTGGCGATGGAGGCTCGAACAACTCTATACGAAGGCTGATGCGGAGTTGAGGCCTGCGGACGATGCGGAGTTTTCGTTCTCCTATCGCGGTCACGTGTCCGCGTAAAATAGACCATATCCATTAATTACACCCACCCGTCTAGCAAACTTCCCCCACAATCTGCCGTCAGCTGCCGCCAACCTCCTCTTTCCCACCCCACCGTCGTGTCCTCCACCGGGAGGCAGTCAATACTCTGAGCATCCTGCACTAGATCGAGACCCACTGTAGGAGCCAAAACAGGCCCTAGTTAGCCAGACTCAACCCATGATTACTAGCATCTTTGTCCTGAACTGGCGAGGTGAGAACAAGCGACTCAACTAACCTAAGCTAGTTGGTTTCTGGGCTCGAGCAGGCGGAGAGGCTGGATATATCAGCTGGCGCATGGTAACGGCCCATACTCTACGGCGCACACACGTGAGCTCTGACTGTAGGTCCAGTACATGCACAAGCGCTCCTGTGGCTAATGTGGCTGTTGCAATAATCACGTGACTTGGCGTCTTGCCCAGCCCCAACGGCCGATTTGTTTCATAACAACACCAACAGCCCATCACGCCCGCCAGTCGTCACCATCTTCCGCCTCGCCAGCGCTGCATCTCCTGTTATTCCTGCGCATACTTCGCGTTACATCCATCCTCTCATGCTGGGAAAGCGTGCGCGCTCGACCAGCTCCGCCAGCAGCCCAGCGACGGCGCCTGAGGCGACTCGACCCGCAAAACGACTGGCCTGCGCCATTGAGGCCGCCGCTCCTTATGCGAAAGGACGCACCTCATCTATTGAACACTGCTCTCGATGTCCCTGCTCCATTGACCTCGCCTGCGGTCTTCCTGCGTCCCCTCGTCCTCGAAAGCGCCGCGCATGCTCCGTCGACCCTCCTACCCCGCCACGCCTGCGCAGCTCGAGTCCGCACACCCCCGAACGTCGACGAGCCCGCTCCCTCGACCGCAGCCCTCCCCCTCTGCGCCTCACACGAGAGAACCTTCGCTCTTTTGAACACAGCACACAGTCCTCCCCGATGTCTGTCCCCCGAAATCCGTCCCCGACGCGAAAAGACACCGCCATCACCGATAAGAAGCAGCTAGCCGGGTATAACATAACTGTAGACAAAGGGATTGCGCTCCCAGAGGCGCTTGCGGACTTGGTGAAGACACTCAAGCGAAGCCGTCAGCAGGAGCCTTCGCCCCACGCACAAGCAGTTATACACACCAGGAGGGCGGCGTCGGTGGAAAATGAGATCACAGCCCGGAAGATGATTGAGGAGCACATCCTTTTCCGGGGCGAGGGCTACTCTGGTGGGATTAAGGGCGTGACACTAAAGGACCAGGTGAATCTAATCAAAGACTATCTTCCTACGCCGCCGCGTGTAACCGTCCCGGAGCTATGGGGCTCCCTCGCGCGACCACAGCCAGACAGCTGCATCGGATATATCACGGCCACAGAGGCGACAACACACACACCGGCATTCGCTATGCCGTTTACCCACGAGGAGGATGACATGGCTGACTGGTATGTCACTCTCCCTTCCTCATACGGTTTCCTGAGCTCACTCCACCCGCAGGCACAACGTTGTCCAGAACGCCGATACACACTTTCCTTTTCTCACCGCTCAGTGGAAGGCCGCCATCTTTGGCGAAAACCAGGTCCACGCCTCCCTCCAAGCCGCACGCGACGGGGCCCTTATCGTCAACTACATGCACGACTTCTACTCGCTTGCGTACCCCAATCGCACCCCCACGCATCTCGAGACGTGTCATTTCTCCTTGACGACGGAAGGTTACACAATCATACTTTGGATACACTGGCGGGAAGTGGACCTAGAAAACGGTGAGGTATACTTCCGGATGGAGGAGGTAGAAATGGCGCGCATGGGCAAGCTGGACGACCTACTGGATGTGTGGAGGACACTGCACAACTATCTTGACTTTGCGTTGGGGGAAAGGTTAAGATCGATCAAGGAAGCCCTTTCTGCGTTCTGGTCAAACCGCTCGGAGAAAAAGGTAAAAAGGACGAAGTCTCGGAGTTCGATGACAGTGTCTGGGTTAGAATTGCGGTTGGATATGCCTATGACGCCGTCAAGTAATATGGGGGAGAGCGCTAATGGAGATGCGGTACCGCCTAAGAAGATAAAGCGCAAGCTGATAGACGTGTCACGGTAAAGGATGCATGAAAATGGGTTTGGATTTATATTCATCTTGGTCTGGTTCAATGTGAGTAGAGCATCGACTTTAATTTCTGTTCTTCTACAGCTTCGCTTTCGACTTCCTTAGTCCTGCGGAGGGATAGTGGCCATGGCCCCGTTCTAGTTCTTGCAGTGGGTCCGCTCCGGATTTGTTCCGGTCATAACTATAATTAATAACTAATACGCGGACGGACGGAAACTCAGCCTTATAGGCAACTGGCATTTTTAAGATTATAAAGGCAAAGCAGTAGCTTTTAAACTGGGGAGCGCTACTCGTACACCCCCTTTTCACTACACGTACAACCCCCCCCCCCTCTTGGCGCTTCACCACCTTCTGATTGGCTCGGAGAGCCCGGAGCTTCCTCCGGGCATTCGCCTTTACGTCTCTCTACACGTGATGATATACGCAAGGCCGTACGTGATGCTATACACGAGGCCGTACGTAAGCTCGTACGTGAGGTCGTACGTGATGCTATACAAGGCCGTACGTGAGGCTATACGTGAGCTTGTATATAAGCTTGTACGTGAGCTCGTACATAAGGCTATACAAATTGGCATAATGTAATTGCTTGTGTTGTACATAGCCGCATTTGGAGAGAGCATTCGGAATTAGTGAGCGAGTTAAGCGAGCGAATCGGAGGCTACGGAGCAGTGCTCCGAGCCAATCAGGAGGTGGTAAAGCTCCAAGAAGGGGAGATGTACGTGTAGCGATTAGGGGGTGTACGTGTAGTGAAAAGGGGGTGTACGAGTAGCGCTCCCCTTTAAACTAGTGAAATTGCGGGACCATACGCCGTGATAAGTTTCTTCTGGCAACATGAAATCACTGTGAGATGCTTTTTCTTTTGCGGGGTATGTATGACGACCTTTGTGTAACATTCAAAATTCCGCTTTCAATTAGGGCGACAAGTCTGCATAGCTGAGTGCAACCAAATTCATCAAACAAAAAACTCGGAAATCCTCTGTGAACTTCTTGCTATCCGTTATGTCGTCGATATGGACGTGCAACATTTGCTACATATCCATGCCAATTGCTGACGGCCCGTACCACCTTGTCGAGGACGACCACATAAAACGCCTAATTACCCGCCTCTCCGACAATACTATACGTCTAGTCAATAACGGCATAACGAATTCATTCACAACTTATGGCCTGACAGAAGAGGAGTACGCGCTAGCTCATCCCAAGAAACCCACTCCTGCGTCAAAGCCGAATAGTCCTACACTTACACGCAGTGGCAGCCCGATCGATCGGTTCTTCGAGTCCTTTTCCTCATTCAAATACGACTCTTCCCTGCCACCCTCTACGTCCTACAAACATCTACAAAAGCACCTGAACTGGCTTCCGGGAAGTCCAGAAAGCAACGAAATTTGGGAAACATACCAAAGCGCTCTTAGGCAAGAATTTGACCTCTGGTACGGTGCGGAAGATGACCTAACGGCGTGGCACTCTTTATGTCGTGCTATAGGGATCAATCCGCTCCCAACGACATGTAAGAGATGTAAGAAGGTAACCGCCTAGTACGCACACCTAGGGCGAATCTATAGATGCTAACTCGAGTGATAGGCTGTGCGTAATTGTCACATCAATATGATTGACTTGATCCATTGGGGGCGGAGTGGGGGAGAGGCAAACGGCAAGCGAGTCCGGATCTTTCGAACGGTACGAGAACTGAGCGTATATAGTCGACAAAGTGGCAGGATTTTCAAAAACACGTTCCACAAGGATTCGGAGGAAGGTGGTGTGGTCCTTAGACATCTTCTCAGGCACCTGTTCCCTCCTAGAGCTACTAAACACGTATCTATCTAGCCGAGTATATCGGCTATACCGGGGAGCTCCTAAGACAACACTTTTCTAGGTAGAGATATATCCTTAATTCTACTGTGAATGGTATTGTTGACATTTACTTAGTACATTCACCATTTTGTATAGCCTCCTTTTGCATTTATCACAGCTTGACAGCGTTCATTCATATTCCCGACATACCTAGCAGTATTAGATAGTTCTAACGCTGCCCATTCTATTTCGACACATTGCCTTAGCTCTGCAAGGGTTCGCGCAAGTCTCTTGGCGTTAGACTTGACAGTATTGCGGCCAAGAGCAAGCAAGATATGTCGTTGCCAGTTGGCTTGGCGTTTCGGCCAGCTGTTTGGTGGGGTTAAGCCAAGTCTACCACGTGACTTGTGCGCAGAGGCTCAATAAATGTTTCATGCCCTTCCTCTTCGACGCTTGGATACGTGAAACCGATGCGAATCGAATCTTTCTGCCCCTGCAGTATGGTTGATGGCTTTTGTGGACGTCGTGTACTTCAAGGGCTCGACAAGGAAATGTCGTCCTGCTCAAGGCTGAAGCCTTCGCTTAGCTGCCGATTGTGCAGCCACAGACACCCGATCCGTGCACGAGCGGGCGGCCTGGAACATTGTGGAGGGGTAATTCGTGGCGCTGTGGCGCGATGTGCTTGGCCTCATCATGCGTCATTACCATGTCGGTGCTCTGCCCAGCTGGCTCTATGAAAGGTCAACGCCATACTAGGTTCTCGAATTTTGATCCTTGCCGCACCGGCCTCGCCTCAAGAGAATGCCTTCAGTTGCCGCCATCATTGGCCGGAACTGTAAAGTGGCTTCGATGTGCGACTCCCCGTGTGGTTGATGGCAAGCCTCTCTTGCGGCTACTCAGGCCAGAATCCCGGTCGTACCCTCTTCTGATGAGGCCACTTCGGCGTATGCGCAGTCTCAGGCCTCATGCCCGGAACTGGACATCAAAGAGGGCCTTGAAGAGATGGCCAAGCACTGGAGCCAGGACGAGTTAGATGCTAGACGGCGGCTGGTCCAATTCCGAAGAAGCCAGTCAGGGGCCACGATAACCACATCCTTTGGGCCGGTGTCACCAGAACACTACTTGAATAGTGGTTGCGTCAGCTGTATACTGTGGGAAGAGAAGGGCGGGTGCTATATCACTAGCACGGACATTTTTGTCCTTCTCGAGTTTCTACTAGGGGTACGGATGTCGAAGGAACAGAAGGACCGCATTCGCCGAAACTTAGAAAATTTCAAGCCGACCACGATTTCCAAGAGCGGGGACACTGAGAAGTTTTTCAACGTTATCATGAAATTCCCGAATCCCATGCCGCGCATACTCATAATAGCCATCAAGGTGTTCCCTTGGGAGGTTCTGGGGCATGTGCTGATAAAGAGCATCAGTAAATATGTATGTTTGGATAGGTTGACGGTTATGTTTTGTATGTAGCTAACGTGTCACCAGTATGCGTCTACTCTAGTGTCGAGCGGTCAGGAGGCTGGGCAGTGAGGCTTCTACGCAGCGGTCGATTTCGGAGCAGAAATCATCCGCTAGCTTGGGCCAGTTTTTTCGGAGGGGAGTTCCCATGGGTTGAAGTCCAGCAGCTCATCTTGTCGAGTCAGTAGTCTCTACATGACATGGCGCCTTTACCATGCAATGTTGGCTGGACATCGCTTGTGCGTCTTATGAATCTTTTTGTACATGCACGAACCGTATAGCTTTGTATGTGACCTGGAAGGCATCGGGTATCGGTGGATCATTTTGCCAATGGACCAGACTCGAGACGCCAAAACGCAAGGCACATTGGCTAGGTGGCTGGGTCACTCCGTCCCCAGAAGCGGTCGGCATGTTTACAGCGACTGCTCGTGGAACGAACCATAAGGGGGCGCGAGATTGCTGCAAGCGTATCAAAAAATGTAGAAAGCAGGAACAGGAATCGGTTGAGCAAAGATCGACGATAAGGTACAAGGATTGCTTCGTCTTGCAAGATCTGGGTATCCGTATTTCATGAGAGCTTCACATAGCAAATCTTTATCGTGTGCAAAATGGCTCTCTGTATCACTTTTCTCTTCTTCATAGAGTTCTTCATGTTCTTCAAGGATTTCCCGGTCGCGCCACTGATCTTGTCCGTAGTGTAACACTCAGGTTGAAAATTGATGTGAACTCTGATTTCTATAGACGTCTAGCTAGTTGTATATATACTAGGGGAAGGAAGGGGGGCCACCCCCGGGGTGGCGCGCTAGTAAGTTCAGCTGAACACTGCACAGCTGAGTTTTCAGCTGGGCTCTCCACAGCTGAGATCTCAGCTGTGTTCTCTACAGCTGATGTTCGGAGTAGCTTTCTAGCATATGAGTTGTTGATCCTAGGTTGTAGTGCTGCAACCTGAGTGTAACGCAAACCAACATTCTTCTGCGAATGACGGTGCAAAAAGTGCAAGAAGTGATAGTAGAATCCGAGTCGAGTGATAATGAACGCTACAGTCGATCCTAAGGGGGCCATATTCTCCCTCATAACGAATAATCGAAGAAACGAGGCTGTTGAGTCGGAACCAGACTTCATCAGGGTCCACTGATTTTGACTCGCAAGTCATCGACAAAATAGCTTCCTGCGAGGCAAGCCAAAGAGCGCGAGTGCGTTCATCTGTATCCCGGTCGAGTGTTCCCGGACTCTCCGGAGGCACATGGACAAAGGATCCAATAGAGTCCATATCGGAGTCCATGATCTTGTCAGTAATATACTCAGGTTGCCACTACTAGCGTGTCAGTGGCGTTACATCCTTCCATATCCGTAACAATGGGGAACAGGGGAGTACCCCCCCCCTTTCATAGGCTATATATACGGGCCTTATGCCTCTTCAAATCAACACAGAACTGCTTCTTCACAACCTGAGAAATATCCGGGTCATCGCGTGTTTCGGGGTCGGGAAGCGTGACTGAAGGATGGGTTTGGGTGGCTTCATATAATGTATAGGCAATCTATACGGCGTCCTAAGCGCGTTCGAACCACTTTTGAGTGTTGATTACTGATTGCTCATGGATAGGAAAATCCGTATCAGCGCCTTGACTGAAAATAGCGCAAGTTCAAACGACGTCTGTGCCGTATATCTGGCTGTAGGCATGGACGTTTTCCAGTCGAGAGTCCGATGGGGCAGTATCGTAGATAGAAAGAATCTGGCCAACCATGCTTGTCTTGCCGTTCCGAGGAGCAGTGGCTCGTTTCCTTACAGTATCGACTGGAGTGTCCCCATTATTGTGGGCCTGCGATGTGGTCCACGTAGAACGGGATTATGGGATTATTTTAGAGACATATTTCTCGCTCTTATTGTATCTTTGTTCCCCGAGAATCCCATTTTGCCCGCCATTTTCGTTCGAGAGCCTGAAAGTCAATCTTCGAACCGATAGAGGAGAACATTTGAGATGAATAGCTCGGCGTAGACCGCTGGTACAGCCTGAAATAGGTACGGTGGCACCCAATCAATGGCTTGCTTGAGCCATGGCATCTTGTTGTGGGAGCTGGTGGCAGCTGGCGTAGGAAGGGCAACGGATCAGTGAAGGAAGCATCAGTACTCAGGTTGCAGCACTACAACCTAGGATCAACAACTCATATGCCAGAAAGCTACTCTCCGAACATCAGCTGTAGAGAACCCAGCTGAAATCTCAGCTGTAGAGAACCGAGCTGAAGCCTCAGCTGTGCAGGGCTCATCTGAACTTACTAGCGCGCCACCCTGGGGGTGGCCCCCTTCCTTCCCCTAGTATATATACAACTAGCTAGACGTCTATAGAAATCAGAGTTCACATCAATTTCAACCTGAGTTCAGTTGTATTGAGGTGCTAACGAGAAACTATATAGTAAAAAGAGGTTTGCAGGTGGCAACGGTGACAAACAGAGCATTCAGCTGAGTTCGAGCGAACTGAGTCTTCAGCTGTACACTGCGAGCCAAGCTGATGCGCGTAGATAGATGTACGTAGGAGCATCTGACTGGCTGCTAATAAGCACCTCAAAAGCAGCAGTTGACTTTCCAGCGGATACTCGATATGACTGCGGCACAAGATGATCGTAACTTCACTGGCTATGCTCTGACTTGCTCGGAGAAGAAAAAGATATAAAAGACTCGTAATGTCCAACAAACCAATTACTAGTCGCAGGTCTGATTTCGCAAAGGCTATTATCCTCGTCATTAATCTGACACATCGAGGTTGTAAGACCCCGCGAGACTGCCCATCTTCTCACACCTCTCACTCTTCTAAAACTTCCTCATACGATGCCCGGAGGCCACCACGGCGGCGGTATCTACAGCGGCGGCATACCCCCCTGGCAAACAGTAAACCAGATATGGACGAATCCAGCACTACTTAATACACCCACAGGCGGATCACACCACCGCCACTCCGCCGGCGGACATTCCAGATCCCACACTGGCGGAGGTCACACTGGCTCCCATGGCGGATCCCACGGTGGAGGCAAACACTCCAACGGCGCCTCAGACGCATCGACAACCGCAAACCAAAACGCCACCCTCCTCAACAACAACATTCCTCAGAACCCATCCGACAACCCACCCGACAAGAACAAGCTCGAAATCGGCAATCCTTTCCCCGAACCCCCTCCCTGACCACGAAATCCCTGACCCGCACCCACCCGAGGAACCGCATGAAGTGCCTGACAGGCCCGAGGAGGAGGAGACGGAGTGGTGGGAGAAACAACTGAAAAAGCAAGGGAGGAGGCTGAGGAAATGGTTAAAGGATATTTTGCCTTTCTGACTTGACTAATCACAGGAGCCAAAGGGCAGAGAGTGAGTTAAGTGATGGAAAGCAAACGTGACGCCATCCGGAGGAGAACGGTCGTTTTGAGGCAGGATTAGTAGTGCTGTAAGGAGGAAGATCAAAAATGTTGTCTGTCGTATTAGGGAATGTTTTGATGAAATACTTACCTTCTTTTACCACCGCTGACTAATCTCTTTCATCGTTCAATAATAAACACACACGCCTAACTTCACAAATTTCCCCTTCTCCATTCCTCTTCAACGCTGTTAGAGCACCGAACACCACCGACCCCCGAGCCCGTTCTTCGGAACCCCCGTACCCTCTTCCATCTCCATCTCCATCTCCATAAACTTCTTCTTCAATTCCACATTGTCTCCCTCTTTCCACTCAACGCCTTTCGCTGTCCATCGCTTTGACTTAAAGTACATGAACAGTGCTACTAACAAGATGGCTAAGCCTAGAATCGTCGCGAGCACGATTGCCGCGTACCGCAACTGCGCTACGTCGACGAGAATGGTGAGGTGGGCGTAATTCGATGTGAGGTCTGAGCATTGCCTGAGAGCTGTACTGTGTTTGGCTAAACTTCTCTGCTTGGTTCGTCGTCTCGATGCATGACACGCCATCGAGGTTGCCCGACTGCTGAGTAGAGAAGAATTGGCAAGGCGAAGTGAAGAGACTGGCTAGGGTTGTAGAGACAGCAAATTGAAAACGCGGACGAATGTATAGCCAGACTGATTGCAGTACCAATTCCGCCCTCGGCGTCTACCAAATTGTCGCTACTATCCAGCTTCTTGCTTGCAGGACCCGCGATGTCTTCGCGCCATGGTTTGAAAGGGAATGCATGAATATGATGCCAGAGCCACTGGGGATTTGAATCATGGTTATAGATATGTAGGATTTTAGGAGATTTGAGTTCGCACCTGGTCTGCAGATATTCTCTGTGGCCCTTTCATGGGCTGCCGCCACTTTCCTCTGATTGTACATCCTCCTGTGCCCTTCAGCCCGCCCTACGCTTCCCACACCTTCGACGACCAAAACAACGAGGGAATAAATAGGCACGTGCAATTGGTAGAGATGTTGACCTCAAAAATGCGGAGGCAGGTTAAAGCTAGAAGCCTTCAAAATGCGCATAATGGAGAATGAGCCAGCTCTACCAACTTGCCAATCCCCACATAACAGCTACCAGCAATAGCTTCTATATGTATCTTAGCAATGTACAGGCCACAATATCTCACATAAGAGCTTACATAATGATGGATCGCCGCAAATTAATGCTTCGCATGTTCTCATGCGTCTCGATCTTTCCGAAGATCGGTTTAACTAGGAAATTTTGCACCATGCGTAGCTAGCTCTCCGACCCCATATTTCCACAGTATCATTCACTTCTTTCTCTAGTCCTGGGTGTTGGAATGTCTTAGTTGGAAAGCTGCGCCTATCCAATACCTTGAAAGTAGCAACTGGAGGATTGTCGCTATTCTCGGGAACGCCGTAGTCGAATATTATCCAAACGTGTCGAGCAGTTCTCGTGATTAAGTGCCGTATTATTCCTGTGACCACATCTGTCTCAGCAAGGCCGAGCTTTCGTATGAAGAATGCACGAATAAGCCGTGTGTCTGCCTGGAGTTTCGGATCGATAGAAATCAAGAAGAGCTGGGCTAGTGATGATGAGAACGCGGATCGGAGGCGATAAGAGCGATGCCAGAGGACGTTCCGTTGGGGTGGAACTGGAGGCCACGAGCGTGTTTGAAGGCGCGTTTGAAGACGTCTTGTAGGCACAGTCAGGGCAGCTCCCCGGCCGGTCTGGGTTTCCTCTAGTCCACGTGACATCGCTACCCGAAACAATGTCCGCCACAGTCATCTGTCTCTTCCCAGACACTCTAATCGGCACAGCAGCAACCCTGGAAATAATAGGTACGGACGAGACACATGAAAGGCGTAAGTATTGAGGTTTCTGAAAGGATCGCTTCAAATTTTCGCTGTTGACCAGCTGGCTAGTTATCTAATTAATAAAATTTCTATCGCCTGCCAGCCTGGCAGGCATGACCGGTGAGTTTCGTAGGGCAACCATCTGCAGTCTTCGACAAAAGCAATAAGAATATACCTTAGCCTTCTGCGGCGCAGTGACCAGTGGGCCATATTTGGACGCAGCTGGTTGCCCCAGCCCCCAGCTATCCTTTATCCCCAAAACGCCTCCATTCTCCAACACCGGTCACTGCTGCTTGCCTTGACCATATACATCGCGGCCCTCTCCTACCAGCCAACCCCACAGCGTCCGAGAATCACCAAACTCGAGCTATTGACTAACCTATCTCGGGTGTCAGCACTGCAGATTGCAAACACGGGCTTAAGTATGAAGGTTTGCTGTTAGCTATGGAGGGCCAGTCCTCTCCCATTCGAATCACACTTACGATTAATGAATGCGTAGCATATGAACCAGATCCAAATCTCTTTCATTACCTCATCGGTAAATGCCTCTACCAGCTTCCTTAATAACCCTCTCCAAATAGTCGCCCCAGAGTCCCCCCCCCCGATTCTTGCCCACTCTCCAATTCTACTCGATATCCATAGTCCAAGATGGTAGCATAAAAAATAATGAGTTTGAAGATGCCCTGAACAGAGCGCGTTGATAAATTCATGAATTTTTCGTCCGGTCCAAGGATCGAGATGTCCCCAATTGCAGAAGACGGGTAGGCGTAATAGATTTTGTGCTCATTACCGATAATGGCGAGGGCGGGTTCAAGGAAAGCTGTAATGGAGGTATCATCTACATTAATACTAGGATTTTGGGTCTCGTTCGAATCGTGGCCGACTCTATAATTAGACTCAGGTTCGCTTTCCGACACAGGACTTTCGGAAAAAGCTCTCCTTGCTAACTCCATCTTCTTCCGCAAACTCGCCGCCATCCAGATGCCCATCTGCAGCTCTGCCTCCTTCTGGTCGCCATTCTCTGGCTTGACCTCAATCCCCGAAAAGAGAACAGCGCGCGAGGTGAAATTGTCTGTGGTATGCGAGACATGCATTGCGTTGACTTCCTCCAGCCGGTTGTATAGCGCGCGGAAATGCGGATCGTGGTATGAGTATGAGAAGCAGAAATCCGTTTTACGGAAGAGATGGCGTTCCTTGTTCGGCGTAGAGAGGTCAGGTATGCGAGAGAGGTACAGGGGATTTATGTTTTGAGATTGCCTAGGAGTTTAGCGGCGAAGGCATACGGGGAGAGCGGGACTTACACGCTCTCAAGCCGCCACTTGCCCTTGCCGTGAAGCTTAAGGGCAAGCCCAATAAGTGGCCAGACAACGCTGAAGCACCATGCGTTCTCGTCTCTTCCGAACTGTGTGCAGAGAGTGGCGGCCTGGAATATCCTCTTCACCTGTTGTAGTGTGTCGACAAGCGCAAAGTCAGCCAGTGTGCGGCTATCCTCGTGATTGAAGGCCTCTTCTTCAATAGGCTCCATGGAAACGGATAGACGAAAGTCCGGGTCCTGCTCAATCGCGTCCTTCAGACCTCCTGGAATATAGCCACCCTTGAGAGCACTGCCTAACCGCCTCCTCAGCCCCCCCAAGCGTGTCATGGCGTCATCTGGCAGTGGTTTGGGTGGCATTGTTATAGGTGAAAGCAAAATTGAGGGTCGAGCGGTCCGCAGCTCTGTAAGATGGCGACTCGGGCTGGAAGTTCGCTTTGCGCTGCCCGTCGCGGTTAAGACAGTGCGCTCAGACAGAGCAACGCTACTGGTGCACGACGCACTATGTCCAGGGAGGGAGTCATCTTCTTTGCGCCGTCTTTTGCTTGGGCTGGAGCTGCGCGGGGGATTGCCGTTATCCATGTTGCACGGCGAGGCGTCGCGGAGTCGCTTTAGTGGAGGTATGATTGCGGGCGATCTTGGGGGAGTTGGCGGGCGGAGCGGCGATGCGGTGAGTGCTGGGTCGGGCGAGGCGCGCAGCCAGTCTCGGACTCGATCGAAGGAGTGCGAGGAGAGAGTGGAGGAAGCCATGACGGCCAGACGACGGGAACGGAGCTGTTGATGCAGGACATGATCGGTTAAGCCGTTTTCGTGCTGGGCCGCGTTTCCCCAGCAACCCCGCGCTTCGCCCAATCGGGAGCGGCCGAGGCTTACCCACACAGAACATCAGGACGACCTGCCATGCATACCGAGAACCCGGCGCCACGACAGAATTGCGGCGATAGCAGCGACACTGAACCAAGCTCTTTCTCAGACTTTGTATGTCTCTGTTCTCTGGGAGCAGAAGAGTGGGGTCATCAAAGGAGTCAGGACGCTGCTGGGATGCTGAATTGAAGAGTATCTTAACGCGTTGCGACCTGAATGAGTTGACATCCGAGCGGGGCCTGGGCGCACATTATATCTTTACCAGCACTGCTTGGCTAGGGCTGAAGGGGCTGCGCTAGCGCATGCCCCGTTTGGTGGCTGAGACATGAAGAATCCAAAAAGGGCGATCCGCGGCTGACGAGTACGAATTTGACTGATTTATGCATGGCTTCCACGATCTGAATTCAACGCTCCGCTATCAACTCATATTTGATCATGTAGATGTACTAGCTGACCTCAATGCTTCAGTCCAGATGGAGGTTCATAATGTCTCGTCTTCAGGCTTTGCCGTTATATAGTGTGCAGGGTCTCCATAGCAGCATCAGCCGTGCCAATTTGCGTTCCGACGTGTACATGCATCCACACTTGCGCTGACTCCGCAGGTTTGCAGTCATCCGGGCCAGTGTAGGCCTGGATACAAGCCTTCAAAAGCCACGGAAGGGAGCATAATTCGAGGAGACGGTAATTTCACTAAGAGCTGGTAGAGCACAAGAGCACGAGGATAGACGCCAAGCATAGCGCGGATGTATAATTAATCCGAGTACCCCTCTATTATACCCCTCCACCCTGCAGCCCAAAACATGCCTATGCGCTAGCCGGCAGAACCACGGAAAGTCGGGCGAAGGGTTCTGTCTTGACAAGAACGACATCTCCTTGCCCTTCAGGTACAACAACGTCCGCAAAAGCCACCGATCACTGCCGTCGAAGAGTCTCCGCGCACAAGCCTTGGCTTAAACCCACCAAACAACTGGCCGAAACGCCCGGCCAGCTAGCAGCGACATACCTTGCATTGAAAGAAGCATGTTTGTAAGGCTGGAATACTCAATAATGATAGACACTAACTGCTCTTTCAGGTGTTGCAGTGAAACCAAGCGCTCCCAGACACATCATTCTTCATCCCTGAACCATACCCACGATGCCAGAACACCTGGAGGTGTTGGTGTTTAGCAAAAAGGCGCAGGACATGATAACAAACCTGGATGAGTGGCTTGCAAACAATGATGACTACAAGCCCGTCGATAAAAACTTTGACGAGTGCGTTCGTAATGGGATTGGAGAAGAAGTGATCCCTTTAGGCGACGAAATCGCGCGGGGAATTGCAACAGTAAGCGTTGTCACTGAGGGATCCTAATACCTAATGCTACCCAGATGAGTCATAAGATCTTCGAGGGGCTGGGATTCGAGATGGAGGAGCTCATAGGCCATCTTCCATTTTCGATGGACCGTGGAAAACTACGCCTGCCCGACTTAGCTTTCCCCGTAGTAGGACAATCGGGTATGCGACGGGAGGGCGATGGCGTTGATGAGTGCCGATTCAAAACATAAACTCCGCGCAAATAGCGTAGCCTCGCCCATGTGAATAAGGAGCGTTGGTGCACCGCCACGACCTGGGTGGCTGGTGTCGGATGCACCACGTATGTCTATCGATAAGTGCACGGCCCCATTCCGCGGTATTTAGACTAAACAAACGAGAATAACACCACAACACTTCGCATCCTCATGGCCATACCTAACACCCCTCCATCGCACTATGACCCTAAAGCCATCCGCATCCGCAAGTGGCTCAATGACCAGCTCAATACTCCTGATCGACCATCCGTCCAGCGCCCTGCTCCGAATTCTACCTTTGCACGACAGAAACGCACCCGGTCGAGCGACTATCAACCTCCTCCACCTCTCAAACGACGACAGCCGCTGGAGCCCGCCGACGCCAATATGTGCCTGTCTCCGATGCGTACACGCTCCAGATCTCCGATTAAACCGACGAAGATGAAGGAACGACCGGTTGAGGACCCACGCGAGCCTGCGGTTCGGGCGAGCTCCTTGGACATAAAACAGGCGCAATTTCAATTTCAATACTGGAAGATGAAAGCGATGGCGAGTGGGAAAAGGGTGTGATGCCAACCTCGACCGCAAGCCAGTCACCAGTCCGTCGCGGGCGCCAACCTACGGATTCGGCTCACCCGCGGCTAACCAGCATACCGATTCTTTCGAGTCGATCCGAATCCGACTACTCTTTCGTCCTAGGCTACGAGGCTTCCTCCGCGTCTACACAATCTGCAGCCTCAAACAAGCGCGAGCGCGACCGAAGCCCTGCGAAGACCCTCGCTCACTTGAAACTCCTCAAAAAGCCGGTCGAGTACATATCGGACGAGGACAAGGTCCGAGAGAGCATCCCAGACGACGTGCGTGAGCTCTGGGCAGACTTACGGAAATTGTGCAAAGGGAACGGCTACATTCCGAGAAGAATTCATGTACGCCTTCTTCATCCTTCTCCCTCTTTTTCTTCGTGCACAAACGTCTGCTAATCTGCTCCAGGAATCCTTCGGCTTGAATATCAACATTGAGGACAAGGATGAACTCACTGATGACACGAGGACCGACGAATCTCTACTGTTCGAAATGCGACAAATGCAAGATGTCAAATCCCAAGCGCATAAGATTGAGGGCGACAGTGAGACCCAATGGTACTGCTCCGTTCACTGGCCAGTATTGACCGCCGCTTTTCGCGATCAGCCGTCCATGGAGCCGAAGATCATCACTCATGCTCGTCCGATCAAAGATTTCCTGCCCCGTATCGGGAAGCAGTACATTGAGTCTAAGCTCGTCGATCTCGCCGTCAACCTCATCCCTCCCACCGGCATAGATATGAACCAGTGGCTAACATACCAGCCTCCAAAATATCGAACAGTCAACCAGTCCCTCTCGGCCTCGCTTACGCATAATCCTACGGTTATTACAATCGAGGTCATGACCTCGCAGGGAACTGAGGTAGCCGCAATGGTACAGGTTGGTATCTGGGTCAGCGCTTGGCACGAGCGTGTTCAACGTCTCCGCGACAGCCGCCTATCTACTGTTACGTTACCTGTTATTATTACATCTGTACACGAGTGGAAACTTTACTTCGCTGTTGATCGTGGGGAGAGCATTGTAAGTATACATCTCTAATTACAATTACGTGGCCCTCGGTTCCTTTGCTGACTCGCTCTTCCAGGAAATGCTTCGCTTCCCTGGGGAGATCGGTGGTACGCTGTCACTGCAGAAGATATATAGGCTTCTAGCTGTACTGCGACGGCTTGGGAAATATGGGATGGATGTGTATGAGCCTTGGTTTCTAGATACTTTCTTCGATCGGAGCGGTCTCCCGGAATGCTTGCGTGGCTTCTAATAGTCTCACGATAGCTCTCTCAATAGCTTTAATTCGTCGGTCGAAGAGTCCACCATAGTGCAATATAGCCGAGGCTAAAGAATAGCTTGGAGTCAAATAGATCCGAATTGAGCTCTAATTGGATTACGCCGTCCTTCTTAACCCCATCGCCCTGGTAAACTTCCCATGACCAAACCGCACTGATTCAACCTAATCTCTCTCATGAGATGCTTCCCAATCCATCTATATATGATTAGCTACCTCTCCATGTAATCATAACAAATAGCTTACACTCTCACTCTCAAAGGTCCGCGAGAGGTCCAGATTTATGGAGCCAGTGGCAGCCCCGTCATAGGCTAAGGAAGTGTTATCCTCGGCATCTGTATAGATGCTATAAGGTGGAGGTATTTCGAAGTCTAGTGAGGTAATTATGTCTTCATTTTCTGCTCAGTTAAAGATCCAACGGCAGAAACGAGTCAGATAGCCTTTTCGTGCAGAAATTTTTCGTTGGGGCGATGATGAAGGTTTAGAGAGGCGGGCATAAACAACGATGAGGCACATTGTGTGAAGAGGTATTTGATAACGGAGAGAGACAAACTGATGCTACTGTTGTCCTGCTCCCTTCCCCACATCTTTATATCTAGTTGGTAGACAGCCCAGAAACTGGATTCAGAAATATTTCACCAGATGCGCAAAATGGGTTCGTGAATCGACTTCGTCATGAGCTGGATACGGCGGCGGCAGGGAGTCTGAATCGGCACTTGGGTTTTCTTCATCCCAGGACATCAATTGACCGATTCGAGTTACTCGTAGCCACCATCGACGTAATAGATGTCGCGTTTCCAATGCTGGGTATCTAGGAGATCTCGAGATAATAACAAAGAGACACATAGTTTCTACACTGACAACCGCACGATAATAAAGACGAGTATAAGGAGATATGGGATGGGTCAAAGATTGTTATCATTTAAGGCCATCGAATTGATACTACTCTACTCCCTTCCACTCCTTTATACCCCGTCCTGCATGCGACTATGAAAACTGAAAACTGGATCCAGCGTGTACCTCTCGGAAACGAGAATCAGGTTCCTAGACTTGGTGTATGCGAGGTGCCAATGCATCTAGATTTCGAAAATCCTTCCGATCCTAAACAAACCTGTGCGGCTGAAGTTGATAGAATTCTACCAACGCTTTAAGACAACCGCTAGGATTTAGTGCGAGCTCCCAAGTAAGATCCCAAGTGACTAGGTATTCCGTTTCGCCGCCTTCTGCAACTTGAGAATGGGTGGTCTTGTACCTATGGCCCATTCTCGTACAAAGGTCAAGATCTGAAGCAGTTTCCAATGAAGGCTCCCACCCGACCATATACTCTAATCCTACTCATTCCACCGTTCGGGAGTCAAGGATCATCTCCACTCCCCAAATTGCCCTCTCCTCTGCGCTCACGCGGCAGGCAAGCCAACTTTGTCCATTTGGGCACTCGCCGGGGATACGTTTGGTTTTAGCCTTAGTGAAGACGTATAACACGCGGACCATTATGAGACATAGGCGTAAGAGAGAATTTAGGATTAAAAGATTGGAATAGAGCAACGGGTTTCATTTTGTTTCTTATGGTTGCCTCGCCAAGTTCGGAAAGTTTGGTAATGCTCTGATAAATGTTCGTGTTAGCCAACCGAGTTCATTAGAGGGCGAGGGTCTGCCTACGAGTTGCACTCTTCTGAGGTCCTGTGGTAGCTGGCGTAGGAAGGGTAAAGGATTGGTGAGGAAAGCATGAGTCGTATTGAGGTGCTAACGAGTAGCTATATAGTGAAGAGAGAATAAGGGTTTCAGGTGGCAACGGTGGCAAACAACAATCGAGCTGAGTCTTCAGCTGTACATTGGAAGCTGAGAGGAGTGAATAGAAACGTGTTACTGACTGCCCAGAGTGGGGATTAATCAATTAATCAACTTTAACGTCTCCAAGTTAATTAATTGCTTTGTTGAACAGGCTGTGATTAATTTAATTTGATTTGATTAATTTCTAAAATGCTTAAGTTAAGTTGATGAGATTAATACTTTTTAACCCCTAAGTTGAATTAATTAGTTTAATTAATAGATTAATTAATAAGTTAATTACTACTTAGGAGGTTTAATACTAATTTAATACTAGAAGCGTATAGATTATAAAGTACTAAGTAACTTAGGCTTTATATTAAGGCGTTGTACGCCTAGAAGATTACTAAGTTTGCTGAATTTTTTTTTATAATTAGCTAAAAAGGCTAGGATAAAGTAGATATTAATAGCTAGCTAGCCTAGAATAGGATAGTAATTTCTTATAATAACCTAGTACTAAATAGGGTTTTTTACTAGTAGGTTATTCTATTTTAGAGTTAGCTTGCGCTTCTACCTTTTATACTTATTATTAATAGTTTTCTTTATCTTCTACTTACCCTTCTCTATAAAGTTTCTAAAAAAGTCTGCTTAGTTATTTATAGGGCTTATTTAACGGCGTTTTACAGGCCTTATATTAGGAAATAAAATAGGAGATACTGTACTAGCAGCCTTTATAGCTACCTTATTCTTATATACCTGCTATAGTAGCCGGAAAAAGCTATAGCTATTTAAAAGCTAGTTTTTATATAAATATAGCCTATTACGCTTTATATTATAATTCTTTAGCACTTTTTATAGCCTTTTAAGCGCATATTTATATACTAGATAAAGTATTATAGCTGTAAAATAAATAGGGGTGTTTTCTATTTTCCTATAGTAATTTATAAGCTTTTTATAAGCGGTATTAATATTAATAACTAAGTAATCTTTAGGTATATCTAGATTTTTATAGTTAATAGCCTTAAGCTTCTTTTTCTGCTTTTTAAGGGCCAAGAGTAGCTATTTAAATATAATAAGAACTTCCTAAATAGCTTTATAGCTACTAGCTAAACCTTTATATAACGGGTTGTTTTTTCTATACCTTCTAAGTGTTATATACTAAGGTAGGGTATAGGCAAGTTATTATTAGGGTGCAATAGTCTTTAAAAGGTAAGGCAATAATTAATTAAAATATAAGACAGGGTTATTACTTCTAATAGGTAGTATTAAAGTCTTAAGTTAAATATAAGGTTCCTATCTATACAAAGGAGCGTCCCTATATATAAAAGCTCCGTCCTAAGAAACCTACGTGCTTTTTATGCTTGTTCACGAGCCGGGCGAGTCTGTCCTTCGCCTGCTCTTCCACGAGTTCGTCGAGCTAGCTCGTTCCTGCTCGCTGTGAGCCTAACGAGCCATCACGTGACCCTGTTCTTGTAATGTCCTATTCTTAGATTATTCCTATCTACTAGCAGTCCGTGGGGGAATCTAGGATCCCTATGCGTCCTACACGTGACCCCCTTAGTCCTGTAACCTAGTTCTGCGTAATTAGTTTTATCTACTTACTTATCTCTATAAGTGCCTCTGCGCTTAGGCGGTTTATATTACAGGTTGTAATACTTACTCCCTTTTTTAAGGCTTTTAGCCCGAAAGTACTTCCGTGGTGGGGTCTTAGATAAGTAGCTGGCAATGCCCTATCTGCTGGGCCGTTATTATACTACTCTATTTCTTCTTTTATAATATCTAATACACTAAAAGCTAAAAAGCGCAAAAACTGCCTTATTTTTACTTCTTATATTAATAATATTAGTGTTAAGATAGTTTCTTATTCTTATTACCTATCTTACAACCTTTCTTATATTATTTTGCAAGCTAACTTAAACTGCTGTTCGGAGTACGTGCGCGCATAATAAGCGCGTTGCAACGTAAGTAGTACCTCGGCCGCAGATTATAAGTTAGTGTAGTTTTTTATTGTTTTTATTATTACTAAGTTTTTTAGGGCGAAAACTGTCTTATAAAAAAGAGCGGTTGCGCGCGGAGAAATCCGCCGCCTATGCTGCTTTTTATACGGCTATAGCAAAGATTAAACATCTAGAGTTTTAAGAGAAGTTACTCTATTATTATAGTAATAAGATACTTTAGCGTGGTCTAGAGTTCTTTAAAGAACTTAAGGAGGTGGATTAGAAAAAGGCTAAGTAGAAAGAATAAGAGCGTGTTAAGCAGGAAGGCTTGCCTTCTGCTTCGGGAACTGTCGGGTATTTTTCTTTCTTTCGGGGTGTGCTGGGCACTGCCAGCCGTCCGTTCTATTGCTATATATTCTAATTATATAGCAGTAGCATTTCTTCTCCAGATTCCTTTAATTTTTCCTAGTTAGACAGTGTATTATTACCGTTTTTCTAGGCTATTCCGAATTCTGGCGGTAAAACTACTGCAGGAGTTTCTAATAGTTTGCTAAACTTTTAACTAGTTCCTATATATTTTTAGAGGTGCTGTATTTTTTCTACTTAATTAGGTACTTTTTTTGCTAACTATGCTATTAGGAATCTAGGATTTGCTTAACCTTATATTTATTATTATTATTAACCTTAATATTGTTTTCTAGCTTAGTATTAGGTAGTATAGGTTCTAGTAGTAATATATAGAAGACTAGGTGTATTTTTATCCTATTAGGTAGCCTAAGCTTATAGTTTACTAGGCTAATAATATTCTATATTTTAAATAGTTACTTTATTTTAATATTTTTATAGAGTAGGTAGACTTTATCCCCCCTTTTAAAGGTTAGTGCAACACTTTAGTATTAGTTATAATATTTTACTAACCTTAGTATTAGGAATTAGATATCTATTAAAAGCTGTTTCTATAGCTTTTTAATACTTTTAACTAATAGTAGTACCTTTTAGGCCCTTATACTATTAAGTTAGGGTTTTTAATACGCCTCTAGATTAAAACTATAGTTTATAAAAAAGGGCAATACCTTTATTATCTCCGTAAATACACTATTATAGGCGAACTAGGCTATTAGTAGTAGTAATACCTAATTATCCTACCTATAATTAATATAGTATTATAGGTACTATTCTAAAGTTTAATTAAGCTTTTCTATTTACCTATCCGTCTAAGAGTAAAATACTATAGAAAGCTTATACTTTATTCCTAGTTATATAGTAAAAGTC